TTTTATTTTAAATTTTTATAATCATCAACTGCTTATACTATACAAAAGCAGTATATTCGTCAGCTTCAGATTTTAAGGAAGTGTTTCTCATATTTAGAGAGTGGTAACTATTTTGCTATTATGTATAAGACCGTAAATATATACTACTACTAGATGTCCAACCCCGCTCGCCCTAAAATAAACAAACAAAGGCGATGTTGCACCTCCAAGTGGCGGGCGTCACGGTCGGTAGGTTCCGACTAGGTGCTTGACGACGACTATGCTCCTGCATTAGAGCTCGCAAACTCGCCCTGTTCGTTGATGACTGATCGAAATATTTGCTGAAGGACGTGGAATTTGATGAAAATGAACAAATAATTGTGAAAATGAAGACACAGTCTGTCTTGCAAATTACCAGGATGATGTGACAACTTTCTTTTGAAAGAAAGCAAGGCATCAAAATTGCGATGCATAGTAAAAAAATGTCAATCAGATGTAGGTAAGGTGGTGACGAGAATGAATACTTTGCACCTTATATAAAAAAATAATAATTAGCAGCATAGCGTTTTGGTCTCAATCTATCTCGAGTATTGTACCTTTTACAGAAGTTTTCTCTCCACTTGATCTATAATCAGGGCTGCCATAACGTCCTTATTTCTAAGATTTGTCCTTATTTTGAAGGCCTTTGTTTAGAAAATATTTTTGTACTTATTTTTAACAAACGTCCTTATTTTGACATGTGTCTTAATGAATGAATATACCGGTAAATTAAACTTTGAATTTGGTTTAGATCTGGAACTTCATAAGATATAAAATGAGTAAACGTAAAAACATTTGTCGGGATGATTATGAGAAAAAATTAAGCGGCGTCAAACCAAACGAAGGGCCAGTGATTTGCGCACTGCAGCTTTCGTGAATGTGACATTAACCTGGAATCCATATTACGGTAAAGCAGCAATTTCTGCTCACAATGCAACCCAGAAGGCAGAAGCACAAGGACTCTGCTCAAGAAATTGAATCAAACCAAGAGTCAATGATTATACAAGGGTCGCGCTGCATGAATACATTCCGTTTATTACATTTCATTCGTTGTTATCTTATTAGGCCTACTGTTTCCCTGTCCTTATTTGGGGATTCATATCGATGGCAGCACTGCCTATTATACTAAATCTAAAAACGTAATAACCACCAATATCACAGTGTCACATCGAAATTTTAGATTACATAGCAGGATATGTTATTAGAAAAATTTATCCCAGTGAAGGAATTTCAGCTAGTCTTAAACTCATATTGTTAAAAAAATTATGCTTACGAGAGTGACAGAAAGAAAAGATTTCACAACAAGACATGCTTATGGGGAACATTGGAATGGCTATCTCAATACATGCAAGCAGCTGGAATTTATTTCGATCATCGCATCATTGAACATCTGACACTTGATAAAAACGAAAAACATTCTCAAATCATTCATGAGCGAATACCTCAATGTAATAATTAATGTAACTGAATGTCAAGATGTAACAACACTACTTGAAAAAGTATTCAAACAATTAGAGCAAATGTATAAGCAAAGTACTGCAGCCAAAATAATAGCAACAAGATGGACAATAGGATTCGTGAAATAAGAAAACAATTAAAGAAAAACAGCAGCTAAAACGAAGGTTAAGATATATGTGATTACAGTCAAGTTTCTGTACTCCTGAAGTATGCGTACTAAGAATTGAGGACACCGGAACGTAGTGTGTATACCACGTTAGGGGTGGTCTGGCAGATGTTTGGTCTAATATGGTATATTTGGAGCCCTTCAACGTTGGAGAAGCAATAAAATGTTATTGTTTTTTATCCTATAACAGAAACATATGAGTACAAAATGAGTTGCATATGCAGCTGTATAGCATTTATTTTGTAAAAAAATCCTCGGGCTAATCACCCGTTGTAAACTTCCAGTGTGTAAAATAATTTATGGAATTTTGGCTGATCCACTGCAGTCTTTTGTTTTCAGATGTTTCAGAGGGAGTATATTTCCGTTTTTAAGGTAGGCCACGTTTTTAGTGCTGCTGCATATGCCAAGAAAGGTATTCTGCAGTTTGCAATACTTGGCAGTTGCTTCAAATTCAGACATTTCCAAAATCTCAGCAACAGATGCAGGAAGAACCTAGAAAGAAAAATTTCCATGGTTCATCTGTTATTAATGACCTGGATAATGTTGCTAATTTTGGAAATAATAATCATGCTACAAGTATTTCAATGCTCAATAGAAGACAGATCCAATAAATTAATATCTAAAACAATACTCTGTGCTATACCTGTGCTGAATATTTAACAGACATTTTTGTCAAGCTATTGAGTTAAACATGTTGGTCTGTTAGTTTACATGGCTGTTTCAAATGTTTTTTAGACATATCTTCATAAATTCCCTCTAGATGTGTTTCCATGCCAAAACCCCGATCTGGTGACAGCAAATCATTCTTCAAAAGTGAGTTTCGAGCAGTCTGCAAAAATTTATATTTTAGTTACGATATTTTGAAATAAATTGCCTACAACAATTGGAGCTTGGGCCTTGTTCACCATCTAAGCATGTGTGTTTTATATATATAAGTATAACAGCCACTTTGACAAAGTGTTATTTGAAACAAAAATGTGAATACCTCATAAAACAAATTGGAATTAATAAAATGTAACGGTTCCAGGAAAAATATTCATGCATTCAATGAATGTGATGGATTTTGCAGTAGCAAAAAAGTTATTGCTATTTATTACAAATCAATAATTTAAAAACACTCGACAAAATAATGCAAAATTTTTTGGCATATTTAAAATTATAAATATATATATATATGTTGAAGCCATGTTTAGATAATAGCAATGATAGGTATCCAATTTATGTGAATAAGGGTATTAGTACCAGCCTGAAATCAAGCAAAATGGATTCACATGGCAAACGTAAAGCACCTCTTATGTTGTCATATGCAGCTGGTGACTTTGTATACAATGACAGAATAAATGGAAAAAATCCATCATAAAACACTCATTATTTGAAGTTAAAATATGCGTGTTCAATTTATGTTTTCATACCGACCTTACAATTTCAGGGTGGTATCGTTCACCACATATCTTTTGCCGAAAGTTTTAGTTCCTCAATCAAAAATTTTCATTGATATGGCAGTATTGGGTAAATTGATTATGATTTTTGAGATAAATCATCATCTATTAGTCAATTTATATCCTTGCTTACTGCTACACAGCATAAATCCTCACACTGCAACTTTTTTATGATCCTTTTCTTCCTGAAAATATACATAATAGGTTACATAATATCTTGATCTTACATTCCTTGACAAATCATTACTGTATTGGCTACCTAGGACATTCACAACTTACTCTTTTTATGCTGAATAATCGTAGCACAAAGTGATTCTCTAATACATCTACTCATTGGAGCCTTATAGTGAATTTAAAATCTTCAGATCTTACTGTCATTTGTCAACATGCTTTCAAGTGCTAGGACCGGTTCTAGGGCCTTCCCTCTACTAATTTGAATATTTATAAAGCCACTCACTTAATCTTGTCGTGAGACAACGCCGTAAGAACATAGGAAAACGCACGATGCTTTCGGAAGCAATAATCTGTCTGCGCCTAGTCGGGCGTGACGGCGAATCTAACATCGGGACCAAATATCGGAAGTTACACGGGGTTGATAAGACCATAAGACTGACCATCTGTAATGGTACATGCGACACTTTCGTGATATTCAAATACGATTTCAAATTTGCGCGTTATACAAGTCAAATACAATTATTTTTGACTGATATCATAAAAATGCAATAACTTCTGCGGGAAAGATTTTAGCAAATACTTCGGTTGATCGCGCAAAACGAGGCGATGCGCACTTTAGTTCTACTTATATGTATAGCTCTAATACCACAGAGCCAGGCCACGCAATTATATTGAGAATCGAAATCATCACGCAAAATATAGAGCCAGGCGAAAAAATATCGCCAAATACATGTAAATGGGGAAGCGATTCCGATAGCCATCTTGGCTAATGTTCTGTGGTCGTTATTGTTTGCTTTTGACTGATACGTTCGCCATATTATCATCCACGACTTACGCAAATTGATAAAACAGTTAAAATCACCAACATATGGTGGATTGAGATATATTAGCATTTCATACTTGATAATAGGAAACGATTCAAGACCAGGCGAATATGCAAGAAAAACTGAAGCAAATGATTTATTTCTGTCAAATCCCCTAAAAGAAATGCATTACGCACCTCGGGAAAGTTGAAAGCATATCGTCAAAACGAGAGAGCCTTCAAATGATCTCGCGGAAATGGGAGAGAAGCACACTCTATAACAGCATTTCTTAACCTGGGGTAAATTTACCCATGGGGGTAAATTTTTCCATTCTTAGGGGTAAATTTTGTTATTGTGGAAAAAAGATTTAGAATGGTAAACAATAATTCCTGTTTTGTTGCGAGAAACGTTGTGTTATTGGTAAGTTTTATGAAATCAGTATTAGAGTATTATTATCAGCAGGCCTATATTTTCACCGGAATTATAACCAACACTTTTAAAATAAGTCGAGTTTTCATAAAGAATCATCAATGACTCTATTGGGGGTTAATTATGTACACTTGTTTGATAAAGGGGTAAAGTATGCAAAAAAGGTTAGGAACCGCTGCTCTATAATCTATATCTCTGTGGATCGAACCCAAATTCCAAGTCCATGCTTCCGAAAAACAAACGATACAGTAAAACTAATCCCACACCCGACTTGGAATGGTAACCGGACGAGAGGCCGTGGTTCGCCATATGGATAAGCCGTCTTATCGGCTTTCCTCTCCCCCGGGATAGATATGTAAATCCTATCCTATCCCTAAATTACGAAACGATAGTTTTATCGCCCTCTAGTGGATCATTTTGAAATTATTTCATAGAGCTTACTTAGTCCACAGAGCTGTAATCAGGTTTGCAGGTGGGGGTCGGCCAGAGATAACAATTTTAGGTATCCGGGAATCGGTATTCTACGCCGACAAGAAGTACGGTACGGTACCGTACTTGTGGTTCGAAACTACACCAGAGCCCCAGACCCTTATTATTGTTCATTTTCTATTTATTTGGTGAGTTTTGAATGGTTAACATGTTGATTAACTGATGTCACACATGACTGCAGGAATTTATTTACGGTACCGGTAATTCATTACTACTGACAGACTGATTAATACCGTATAAGACATAGTCCAGTAGTCTAGGCAGTAGGTCTAGTTGCAGAGTTGATGAGTTAAATACTGAAATAGAAAGTACGGTACCCGGTATCTATCGACGTGATACACTGATTATCAGTGTATCAGTGACTGATAGGACACCATTTTCCGATTTTCTGAATCATATCACTGTATCATTTCTGCATTCGGATATTGTGAGAAAAGATGACTGCTTGTCCTCCTCCTGCTGTATCCAGACTGGATGTTGTAGAAGAAGATGAGGATTTATTACAAGAGTCATCTGTCAAAAAAGTATATTAAGCTATTTATAATAATACTGTAATATATGATAAATATGCAAATCCTATCCTATCCCCACTGGCTGTTCGTAGCCGTTAATAACAATGCAATTTGTTTAGATGTGCACGCATCGTTTATTTTGATCCCAGTATCCTATTTTCAATATTACAGTATTATGATATTGGTGCCCCATTACTGCATTAAGGATTCAATCAATGTTGCGATAGTGCAGCAGATGTACAAAGTATGGAGTCAAGTTACCATAAATTTTAGTGGCTCCAGCTCCCATCCGTCTAATTTTTTTTCACTTTCATAAATATGTGATAATCAGACTTGATAAATGTTGTAGTCTTTTCTTTTGTTCAGTAATTGATGTCTGCTTGTAATGAAAATTCTGCCATCTCTCAGAGTAAAAGTTACAAAAATGCATTTGTGTCATTGGGCAGCTGAACTCTTATATCACATAGATCTGTAGATTGCATTTCATAAATTACAATTGTTGATAATGATGTTCAACTGTGCATGAATAGGAATTTAGCTGGGTTTTGTAACAAATTTTTTTTGTTATTTGGAAATATGCACTAGATTCTGATATTGTTGTCCACTACTCATTTAATGTAATCTATATTTGAGAATCATTATCTTTTAATTAATAATTTTCAGAATCTGCAAAGTGCATTTGATACACCTGTCGTTGTTAAGAAAAGAATATCTCGCCTCAGCCAGAATTTTCAGCAACTGCCAGTGGAATATATGAAAGTTTTCCTTCGGCTTCGACCTTTCACAGAAAAAGAATTGAAAGAAAATGAAGACCAGGTAAATATGAGAAAGATTTGGAAATAAGGTGTTAAACACTAGGCAAGCTTCTCAAATTGAGAAGCAAGGTTCTTTGGAACAAAAGCAATTACTTTGAATAGCATGTTTGTGTTAATTTTATAGAGAACTATGCGGATTTCTGATGACCGACATGTTCTTACGGCAATGGCACCAAAAGATTCCAAAACATTTAAAACAAGCAGCAGAGGTATTGGTGAACCTGTCAGACATTTCACTTTCACAAAGATATTTGATCAAGCCACAAGGTGCATTTTGACTTTTTCTTTTCTCGAGTACTTTCTTATTATTATCATATTTTTATTTTCAATTTTTACTTAACTATGCATCCTATGAAAATACGCTAATAGAATTCATTCCCAATTTCCAGTCAAAAGGAATTCTACAGGGAGACATCACATCCTCTTGTCCAGGATTTCATTGATGGCAACAATGCACTGATATTTACATATGGAGTAACCAATGCTGGTTAGTGATTTTCTGTGATAAGTTCATTACTATTAGTACGTATATTGACTATACTATATTGACTCAACTAATTTTCTCTCTGTTGAAAGAAAATTATATTAAGTGCAGTTAAGTGTTTTTTAACAAGCAAATAATGAAACATGTTTCCTGTTGTGCAACCATCCTATCTTACTGCAGTATCTCGTGCAAAAAGGGAATAAGGCTTTTGACAATGTTGCTTTATTGAGTAATAACTAATAACATTACATGCTTAGCAGGGATTTCTATATATGAGGTAATTTATGCCTCTTTCACTGTGAACAAGGCTCGGCACACGCAGCTACTGCTAAGTTGGATCTAATATAGTTTGAAAAGGCACTGGTTATTCAATTTAAATCGCCTTGGATCAGGGGGCAGGCATTAGATTTGAACCCAAGATTTTAACTTGCGGTCCCATTACAGTTGCGTCTAATGCTTAAATGACCACTTTGCCATGGTGCTCGCATCGCTCTGCTTAAATTTGAAAATTGAAGTAAAAAAAGTTCATTTCGTTTATATGAAACTTTCTTTATTCAATAACAATTACCACTTTAATATTTAATTCTTTTTTTTCATTATCCAGGTAAAACCTACACACTACAGGGGTCACAAGGAAATGAAGGAATCATCCCGCAAGCTATTGATGTCTTGTTCAATAATGTAGGAGATAAAATTATGAAGGTATGATATGGATATTGTGAAGCCAATTTATTGCTTTTTACATATCTTCAACCTTTCTATCATGTGGCTGCCTTTGCATAAAAGCAGCTGTTAATATTAGTTCTGTAATATTTGTCATGATTTCCAAGCTGGGGTTTTGACCATTTTGGTGAGGAATGTAGAGCTTGTATTAAGTCCCAAAACTAGGGTGTTCACAGTTTTCTGTTGTATGTGAGGCTAAATTTTGATATTTTACATTAGTTTGTAGAATCATGCATCAAGAACACTGTTTTGGACATGATATGGCACTTTATGTTTTAATTCCGAATTTTTCTTTTCTCTTTTACATTATAGGATGTTAAATTTAAACCAAAAATGGCTCACAATCTACGCTTTCTAACTGAAGAAGAACAGGTTTCACAAAATAAAATTAAAGAAGAAGTTTTATCTATGGCTGCTGAGGTAATTGTAATTATAGTTTACAGAAAGGTTGGTCTTTTCAATTGGGAGGCTTTGATTTGCTTTTCTCATTTTGGCAACGGCGTTGCATATCTATCCATCATGACTGCAGAATTGGATTGTCAAAATTGCATTAAAAAATGATAAGTGTTGTTTTGTAAGCATAGCTAGCTGTGTACAGTTGTACGTACGTTTAACCCTTTCCATGCGATTTTTATTTTTTATTAAATAATCGTATTTGCTACGCCGATTTTATGCATTTGTACCCCTACAACTAATCGATCGACTAGTGAAAAACTAATGATCCTCTGCTGCCCACTGACGGCTCGTTGGAAAGCTTATTTAAAGAGCTTGCAATTGGCGATTACAAAAAAAAGTTTTTTTTAGAAGTGGTAGTCTGAGTCACAAACCGGATAGAAAAAAGGCATTTTTTTTCTTGGGAGTTGAAACTTCAAACCGTGATAAAAAATAGAAATATTTGCTAAATCCTTTACTGTTACCGCTTCGTGGTTGGCAAACAACAGCATAATGTTGCTGTAGCAATTTCTAGACAGATTGCTAAATAAAACAATGGGTAACTTAAAGTACCCGCCGCGATCTAGCTAGTTTTGTCGTTGGTACGTATACGTGCCCACCGCACCGGTAAGGGTTAACAACAATTATTTCCATGTGTACTCATTGTCATTAGAATATGAAGCGTTGTAACATCACCACTACCATGGATGGCTAAGTAGTCTGTGTTCCTGCTCTATTAGATACTTATCTATGTTCATTTTAAAAATATAAATCTAATAAATCTTCAGGTGTCACCAAAGTTGACCAAACTACGGCCCTCGGCGTCATTTCATCCGGGCCTCCAATCACACGTAAAAATGTCTAATTTTTTTTCCCAGGGGAGATTTTCCCGACCATCGTCATCCTTACTTATTTCGTAACATTGACCAATCGGCAAGATCCAAAAAAGTGACATGATAATAGGCCTTTTCACATCTGCTCAGACACTTTCGACGAAACTGTTTGTTTCTTGTGCTAAAATGAACGTTGAATGTGCATTTTGCGCTAACAGTACTGTAATCCCTTGCGTACTGCTTCAATTTCCCAAGTTACACTAATTTTTGTACTGCTTAAATGCGGATATTCATGGTTGGTATGTTACAAAAAAATAAAAGTTCATTCGATTTAAAAAAAAACTGCGCCAGTGGATGGATCTGAGTGAAAATAAGAAAACAAACCAAGTTTATAAAAAAACGGTCAAGAAATAGCGTAGAAATCGGAATTTCAGTATCGCCCGACAGGCCAAGGATTGTATTACTTTTTTGATAAGAACTGTAATAAATATGAAAAAAAAACAGATATCAATCACTAATCTTTCGATGTGTGTCACATCTATGGAATATTGAGACTATTCCAGGATTTTATTCTGGCAACCGTCATTGACACCGCCGAAAGATTGTCGCAAATAAACGCTGGAGTTGTGCATGATAGTTTGACAGTGGTTCATTGTGGGTAACACTTAACGATGTTCTGATTGAACAAACTTCATATAAATTGGTAAGTATCAAGTTAGGGAAGAAATACACACATCCATATAAATTTTATTGGTGTCTATACACAATATGATTAATTTGCACTGCGTAAAACTGAAGCGTAATTTTTAAAATCTCCAAATATTGGCAAATTTATTCGCTAATGAAAAAAATCAAATACCAGATAAAATATGTTATTAATTTACATTTACTCTTTTGCAGTCGAGAGCTTCTTTTGGTCAAGATAGTTTGGAATCATCAGCAGCAACAGAAATGACAGATACATCTGCAGAAGAAACTTTGTTGAGTACATCAAGGTATTGCATGATTTGTTTACATGACACAAAATGAATACTGGGAACGAATGAATTTGTAGAATCTAACTTGTAGGAGAAATTTTCTTCAATGTTTTAAGTTCAGTCGTTTAAAAAAGGATTGTTTCCATAACAGAGCATGTTGAGTTCCTTATTGATGATTTCTAATTTAATGGTTTAGCTATTTCGGGCATGGAATATTACTGATTTACTTCCTATATATGTGGTCTGGCAACATATACTACTATTTTTATTCATCTTTATAGACATGTTGATTTCTACAACAACGTACATATATTGACTTAATGCAGCGTTTCCCAACTCTTTTTGACTATACTGCCCCCTTTAAAACTATTTTACTTCCTGACTATGCATTAAATCTTGGTTTCCCTTATTTGTTAAATCTTTATAGGATCTTTAGCTAGTGTTTCACACAACTTGCACACTGGCTCTCTAAATATGCATCACAACAATTTTTATTAATAACTAATCAATATTAGTAAAACTACACCAACTACAAAGTAATGTTTTCCAATTTTCTTCCTGAAATTCCTTCATGGGAAGGAATTTCTCCTTGGTTAAGAATCGCTTTGGCTTAATATCGATCGCTTTTTTGGCAAGTTACATATCACTGGTATCTTCACTTGGTGGTGTATTCAGATTTAACAGACTTTCCAAATCTTTATAAATCTAATACAAATTATTTTGCAGGTATCCAAGTATGGAAGGCTCATCTACAATACCATCAGAACAAATCCATGGGCCTGTAAAGTACGTAATTGTAGTAATTACTCTTATTTTTTCTGGTTTTGTTTATGCATTCTGAATACCATTATTAGTTTGATAATCTGTAAAATTTATTCCCATCTTCATCTTAATAAAAGCTTGTAATTATCTGATAAACATTGAATCGTTTTCAAGCGGTTTCCTTTACAGTATTTTAGTGCACATTTTTTCTCTAGTGTAATCGCATGCCAATAACAATATCAACTGATAAATACATAAATTACTGAATACAGAAACTTTCATTATACCATTCTGCAAAGAATGATCTACACATAGATATTGGCTAAGTTAAAGTTTTCACTCCAGCCTGAACATACTTTCAACCACAATAAAATGGATGTTGATGAATTCATTCATTGGGAATGAAGTCATGATATGTTTTGAAATTGTTATTCATTAGAACAAGCCAGGCTCATTTGTGGAGATTAGGTGTGAAATCTTGATTTCATCATGAAATAGCGTAGCCTATGTCATCATATACTTGCAGTGTTTTCTTTCGTTGTATTGTTGTTAATGTTTTTTTTTTTTATTCTCGTCTGATTATGTTATATTGCTAGGTATGCAATTTTTGTATCATTCGTGGAAGTTTACAGGGAGTTAACATACGATCTTCTCACTGCATATCCAAAAGAGAAGAAACAAACGAGGCCTGTACTTGTCATTTCTGATGATGGAAAAGGAGCTTCTTATGTGAAGGGAATGAGAGAAATTCAAGTTGGTTCTAATACTTAGTTGTAATGAAGAGTTTTGTTTATTTAATTTTTTAATTAGGTACATGATGTACAGGAAATTAGACCGTGGTTATATTTTTCTTCCTGTATATATTTTTTGTTGATTGGAAGCTTACCATAATAAATGGAGTTGGAGCTACCAGAAATTTTAGTAACTCAAACTATCTATTTTCAACATGTATATTTTTTTAATACTTCATACAGATAATAATCCTTTCCATTTTATAATTTTTTTTTGCAATTCCATTTCTTAATTTTAATTCAAAAGTTTCAAGTTCAATTTGTATATTTGGATTTAATAATGTTCAATTTCAAAACTAGGAACCCTTATATTTGAGTTTTAACTCCAACTTCTGTTGAACTGCATTTGGGCTGATGTTTCATGGTTGTGGTTATACGAAGGAATCTCAATGGATGTAGTACTCGAGCCCAGCTCAGAGATAAAAAATAAAGTTTTGTAGCTGGAGCAACAGTTTGACTCCGGGACTGGAATCGAGTCATTGTGATTCAAACTAGTTCCCCAGCCCTGCATGAGAGTCCAGTTTTTGTTGTTTGTTAATCTCTACGTGTTATTATGTTAAATAGATGGGGAACTTTAATATTTAATATTTGACCACAATCTATATTTTCTTTACAGGTGAATTCACCGGAAGAAGTTATGAAGATATTAGAAGTTGGACAAAGAAATCTTCATGTTGCAGCTACTAACTTGAATAAGGACTCCAGTAGAAGGTAAGAACGGCTAGAATACAGGTAATAACAAAATATATATCATACTTCTTTCTTAACTTTGTTCTACAGTGTTTGTATTACATATCCTATTTATTTTCTTAAAATGGAGAATTTATTTGGTTTTCTGTCCTGTCCTGTCTGTATTTTAAACCCAAGCAATATTGATCTGATATTTCATTTTCAGCCATTGTATATTCACTATAACATTGGTACAAGTTATGGATATTCCAGATCCTACTGGAGGCAGAGTGTCCAAGTAAGGTTCTTATTTTGTTTGATATTTGCTACAGATCGGCCTTGTATACTGGTGTTCCTTGTGGTATCATTTAGACTTTCAACTCAGTGGGCTCACATATTTGCTAAGCGCCAGGTATATCCTGCGGATTTGCAGGTTTGGATCTAATGGCGGATAATTATGTTTGAGAGGATTGTTGAACTTGTCGTAGTCTTGAGTGGTTTACTTATCCGCTGGTCGGTTATGGCTTTTTCCATCATCAACTTTGCTTTCTTCTGAGCTAAATATAAAAAAAATTTTTTACAATAATATTCATCATGCACTTCGGCCCTGCATTAGTGTTGGTTTAGTTATTTTTTCTTGCAAAGTTCATGAATCGAATCTTATATTTTATGGTCAACTTATTTTTTCATTTTCACGTATGAAGGATTTCTTTTTGCGATCTTGCTGGTTCGGAGCGAGCTAACAAAACAAAAGAAGTTGGTGACAGATTGAAAGAAGCTGGAAAAATTAACACATCACTTATGAAACTGGGAATGTGTATTGAAGCTTTGAGGCATAATCAACAATATAAAGACGATAAACGTGAGTTGTTTGGTTAGTAATATTGTTGTATATTTCATCCTGGCAAGGTTGGTAGGCGGCTTAACCTATTTTTATATTTTTCTTTGCTTAATAAGACAATTTATTTATTCCTTTATTCTTCCCTCATTATGCACAAAAACTATGTTTTCGCTATTTGCTAAATTTTTGAATGATCCTAGGCTGGTGTTGCCTATCCAGGTATGGTCAAAACCAAATAATTTATTATTCCGAATACATTCTAAAATAACATTTTTGGATATAAAAAAGAGAGAATATATATCCTGAAATGGGTCAGTTCTACAAGAGAAATTCTCTCAAGACTATTGTGAATTTGTAGAAATTAAATTTGTTTATGCAGAATAATTGAGATTATTAACATTGTTTTAATCAGTATTCTCTATTTTATTCTGTCAAAAGTTAAATAATTTTTTGTCTATCATAAAAAGGATAAATGCTTATCTATTTATTTCTAAAGTCAAGAATTTACTGAATTAAATATAACCATTTCCAAATGTATTCGAATATTTCACTGCGTACAACTCTGGTTTATGCGTAGTTTGTATGGTTTTTAATAATGTGTCCATGAATTTGTATTACAAATTACAATAACACTATATAACTACGTAACATTAGTGAAATTACATGCAAATGCAAAGTAATATATCTGTATTTCTTTCTCAAAAACAACAAAATATATTTATGTATTATGCCTTATCTTTTTTTTCATTTATGAACTTGCAGAAAAACAGAGAGCTGTTTCATTTCGTGATTCCAAGCTTACAAGATTATTCCGAAGTTATCTTTTGGGAGAAGGTCGTGCATGCATGATAGTCAATGCCAATATGTGTGCATCTGGATTTGATGAAACTGCTCATGTGCTCAAGTTTTCTGCCATAGCTAAAGAGGTAAATATTTGGAATTTTTGTCCATTTATGGAAAACAATAACATTCTGAATTATGAGTGGTGTGAAGATTCTCTCTAAACGAATTCTACTAAAGTTGCTTAAAATTGACTTGCTATACTGAACATACATTTAAACTGTCGTACTTTAATAAGCCTAGGCATTTATGCTATGTTTTACATTCGTATTGCTTCACGAATTAATATTTTACCTCAGATCTATTTTGGGTACTCCTGTAGTGTGTGTACCAGGTTAGGGTTAGGCCATGATTTTATTTCGATTTTATTTATTTTAGGTACGAGTTTGGGAACTGTCTGTGTTAACCAAGGGAATATACCACCTGCCTGTAGGCTTCAGTCCATTTACACAAATTGATGTGAAGTAGGCAAACAAAATTAGTTACCTCCAATCCTCCATATTGGTACACATACTTCTGGAGCGCCCTATTTGCAATGATCTTCATCATGGTCTGGAGTGGAAATAATTAAATATAATTCTTGTTTCCAGCTGTTGTAATTTTATCTGATTTTGACAGGTTCAAATAATCAACAAACCAAAACCAAAAATAAAGTCCAGAGCTACATTGTTTGAGGAGAAGTTCGAATCTGCAATGGAAGCAGTTAAGAGACCTCGAAATACAATTGCCTGGGAAAGAAAACTTACTCCTGTCAAAGGTAATTCTTTTCTAAATATCTTTTTCATTTTAATAGTCGTATGTTCCTGTAGTTGGGTAAAATCTTTGTTATTACGATTGGTTAGTTGACAAAAAACAGTCTGGTATTTACAACTCTAGTAATAGTGTTGATGTACTCTGTAGGATAAGATTTTCATTTTAAATTTGGTTTGGAAAGCTTTATCGGCTTATCGACTTTCCTCCAACCAAATTTAAAATGAAAATCTTGTCCTACAGAGTACATCAACACTATTACCAGGGTGAATTATATGGTGATTCATGAACTGTCAGCCGGTTACCAGTCCATGCCGGATATGCTAATTTTTATTTCACCAGTTATATTTTTTCAGATGTATTTACTTTATCTATTGTCAGTGCATACGGATCTACTAACTAAAACAACCAAGGAATAAAAAAAAAGTAGTTATTCACTCCATATGATGCATGCAATAATATTCATTCATCAAATTTATTTTGACAATATTGTTTCAGATCTCAATGAGAATCCCGAAGAAGAAGAAGAAGAAGAGGAAGATGAAATATATGAAGAATCTGAAGATTATGAATCTGATTCTGAAGATGAAGATAATAAAGAAGAAAGAGATGTAGCTTATTGGAAAAATAGAGAGGTGTGTTCTAAATTATTTGAATACAGAAGGAATCCGTCATCAGGATCCGGTGTACACAGTGTAACAATTTTCGTGCTTGCATGGAGTACCTAAAATTATTGATGAAACAAGTATGTCTGTATCGAATATGCCTGCATCAATCTGCTAGATATGTGGTGCATCATGCTAAGCATTAGGAATACGTACCACCAATAAATAGCTTTGAACTTATAAAACATGATTGCTATTCCACCTGGAGTCATTGACATTTAAAATTGATCATTTGTCATTGTAGAAAAAGTTCATTGAATTGATTGAAATGATGAAGAAAGCTGTGAGTCAGGAACAGAAGAACAGTAAAAAGAGAGAAGCTGAAATACGAAGACACGTCGTTCAACAAATGCAAAATCAGATTGTTCAAATTGAAAACAGTCATGAGTATGTCGGAATCAGTGTTCCCTCTAAGGTGTGCGCGCGCACACAGCTTTTAGAGGCTGCGCACACGCATAGATTCACTGTGCACAGACGTATTTCGATGTAATGTAACAATTTTCTCGGTTGGCAGGTTGAGAAAGTTTGTTGTTGGCCCACTCATTACCCGTTTAGAACGCCAAAATTTCTTCATTGGTTTTTGCACAAATATTAGCCATTTCTATAAAAGTGCGCACACACCACAATTGCTGCGCACACATACTACAAGAAATTAGAGGGATCATTGGTCGGAATAATTTTTACTAATATCTTTAGTAGTATGCCGGATAATCTTTTGTGAAATTTTAATTTGCTGATAGTTATGAAATTGTGAAAAATGTGGATCCTTTACATAGTTCTATTTAATATCAATTCAAATATTATAGCATTCCATTATATATTTTTTAATTTAAGCAAAATTCTGATTTTAGAGAACAAATTGAAGATACTATAAGTCTTCTACAGGTGGAACAAGAAAAGAGACTTGGAATTGTGAAAGATGTAGTGACAGAAGATATCAGGAAATTAAAGGAAAGATTAGATAAAAAGTATTGGGATGTCGTTACAAAAAATACCAATATGGAACAAGAACTAGCGGTAATCCTTAAAATTTGATGTTCACATTAATTGATTTTATGATGTTCCATTACATCATATAGAATACCATATCTATGCAAATATTTTCTTTATAGCCAATGTGTGATTTAAATTTTTATGGTGTAGGTCTAACACAGCCGTTTTTCCTTCATAATCTTAACTCTGAAAATAAATATTTTTATTTACTCTCTTATTGTTTACTATCCATATTAGGTTCCTAGTTTGGGGACACCTCATTTTATATCTTGTACATGCGCCTTTGCAGTCACAACACAAAGTAAATATAGACTACATAACACCTCTTTATGAAAGGTCATATAATACTGTAAAACTTATTTGGCGAAACTTATTTTAGAATAAATAAATATATGTCAATTATTGTTAGTATTGAATTTCGAACTCTAATTGTCTGACATTGCTTTCAATAATCACTTTTTCTGACACTTCTTGTAAATTATAAAGTTTTACCTTCAATTTACCAGGAATGCAAAGAACAGCTCAAATCGAAAACCACTGAGCTCCAGAGTGTTGAAGACAAGGTAACAGCAACTGATTTGCAAATCAACATGTTACAGATGGATTTGGAGAAAAAGGAAAAAGGTATAAAATAGCAGCTATTGATTGATATTGTTTTTGCAGGAATTTCAGGTTTCTTATTCGGTTTAATTAGCAAACTTTTTGTAAATCAGTTACATGTAAGCCTACATTTGTTTTCAGAAATTGTGACACTTAAAAATCGTCACCGTAGAAGTTCAAGTCGCTACTCGTCAATGGATAAAGAACAATTTATTTTGGATCTAGAGAAAGAAAACGAAGAAGGTTTGTTACTTATCGATCTCGATGATAAGTATGTTGATAGGTATTTGTCTGTCTGTCTGTTTGTTTGTCTGTTAGATGCAAGCGATATCTCACGAAGGCGAGGTTGTATCTGCTCCAAATTTTGCATGTGCATTCATCATATCTCGGACCAGAAGCCTATTGATTTTAGATGAATTATGTCGTCTAATTAGCGAGTTATCAATTAATTAGTGATGGGACACACGGTCTTGCTATGGAGTAAGAGCGGATGAATCGAAATCGCAGTTTCTGTTTTGGGGGATCCCCTAACTTTCGATCGATAAGTCTTTGGTCTCTGACCGATATTCTCGTTGTCTAGTTGTTGTTTTGTCTTTGTCGACACATGATTTGAACAGACTCATCAGAATATTTATTTTTGAAGGTCGATTTCTCATAAAGCAACTCATGGAGGAAGTGGATGAGCATAGATCAAAAGTAGAGGAGGAACAGGAAGAGAATAACAAATTGAATGAAAGTTTAAAAGCGGCAAACAAGGTTTTAAGTATAGCTTTTTCTTTCTGGAGTAATATTCGTAGTAATATGCCAACATGTCAAGTAGGCAATATAGGACCCTACTAGATGCAAGGTTTATCAACCAATGTTCTTATATATATTAGATTATACATTTGTTTAATGACTATGTTTGATGGGACTATCTACACCACTAGGTTACATAAATAATTATCAATTATTCTTGCTGAAGCAATGTGAGAATAAGTGTCTGAATAAAATGAGTAATTGTTGATATTTCCTACGGTACTGATAAATCATGCTAATGTGAAGTTAATGAAATACCATTACAAACCACATTTAATTAACAGGGTGGTATAAATAGATAACCTTCAAACTCAGTATTTGCTTTTGATTACTTGATCATTCTGCGTAGTTGTGAAATTTTTTTAAGTTGATATTAGGTTTTTCGTAAATTTTGCTCTATCTGTTCGTAAACTCGACAAATAGGTGTCACTGATCTAACCCCATAGTCATTTGCTAGCTTTCGTCGTTTGCTATGGGTCACTTGTACGTTTTCTCCCTTTTGGTTACCTGTCTTTGTACACTTTTAAATCTGTTGCATAGTTTACACTGATTGATTCTTGAATTGTGGAAATTAACTCTTGAATATATTGAAAAACGAAAACGGTCAAAGGGCTAGCGATGGTATAGGATAATCTACTAATTACAACAACAATAACATAATGTCTGAGACACTGGATAAGCATTCTTTTTGTTTTACCTTAGTAAGCAAACTACCCTTAATTCAAATTTTGTTTTTTATTTCAGAAAATTGAGCAATTACTTAGTCAAGATCAAGAATCAAAAGGAAGTGATATAGATACAGGAGAACTTGAGAGGTATGATTCATTCAGTCTTTAGACAGAAATCATGATTTTTATGTTTTTAAATAATTTTTATGTATCAAGTAATGAATGTGTATTAGATCTACAAACTATTCGCTTCCAGGATTAGAATATGATTTTGATACATTGTAATCTCAAATCCTCAATTAGTTGAATCAATCATGTGTTTTCAATTTACACTTTAACCTTGTAAATTACCACTAGATTTTCAAAGTCATTTGTCAAACATTGATGATAAAATATATGGATTTTTTTAACTGAATATGTAAATTGATGATGATAGAATATTATTAGTTTCTTTTTGTTGTACTGGGTTTACTCTGAGTCTGACCAAGGTTTATTTTGGTGCTTTATATATGATATTTGTATAAGTTCACATTTCTGTTTTTATTTATATATGATTAATTCTAGGTTGAAAAAAGAACACCAAAGTCTTCAGGAAAAAATGGTCATTTTGGAAGAAAAATCTGTGCAACTTTGTACGAAATTGGAACTTAGGAATGAATCGGCTGCTGAAGACAATGTTCTTGGGGTAAATAATAAATATCATTCTGATAGTGATAATGATGTTCCAAGTTGTAACAAGCTTTTAATCTCACTTTATATTTACACAGAACACTGAATACTTACTTAAACATTTACCTGAATGGATGGATAGTAATCAAGAAACAATTTCACATTTAACATCTGAAGTAGAGTCGGAAAAATCTGAGAAATTGCAGGTTTGCTGGTGTTTATTTTTGCCATGTTATGTACGGTAGGCCAAGTTTTTTTTAGTAGTGTGATAATGGTTAGGAAATATAACTGACTATGATGCGAACTACTATTATGTTTCGTATGTAGATTGGGTGCAGCCATTTTTTTTAACAAGGGAGGTTACAATAATATAAAACAGTGCGTTGACTGTGCTATTTGTGACGCCATATGCATCCCAGTACTTGAAGAGCTAAATACTGCTTGTCATGTTGTCATTAATAGTCTGGCGTCAGTCAGAGAATGTTTTGCATTTTTGATTCCAAACATTCTCTAGTTAACTAGTTTGCGACCCTTGTTTCTCCCCACTGTAAGTGGTATTATAGGTTTTTATCTCAGATTTTATACTTGGTTGTGTATCATATATCTCCCTGGAACCTTGTTGATAGATTTGCCAAAATGTAGACTTCACTTTTTTCAGTATAAAGATTGAAAACAAATTTCAAGCTTACTCTTTATGGAATAGCATGGGAATCTTAAGTTGAATGAAATTTCTGTTCCATCATTTCTTATTCTGATCTTTATTTTCAAGTGAAGTTATCTGCTTTAACTTTTCTAATTTTATTATTGTTCAGATCAAATCCCTTCATGACGAACTTGCTCAAAAAGTTGTCGAACAGGATGAATATGTTAAACAAATAGAACAGATCAAAGCAGATTTCACCAAACAGAAAGAACAAATAGAAGTTGTTCACTGTGAAGAAATGCAAAAAACGGAGAACGAGAGGAAAATGGCAAAAGATGAATTTCAGTCGAAAATAGAAAGTTTGAAAGAAAAGTTGAATGTGAGGATATAGCCTAATATTCCAATTTGAATTGATGCAAAATCATTTATCATAACAACTATTAGAAAACAAAACTGTTAATTATATTTTGTAAATCAAATAGACAGTTTCAAACTTATACCTGATGGTGCCTATTACGCATCATGTTTTGAATGTGTTTAGATGCATGTGGTGTTTGTCAAACTGTAAAAGAAATAATCGATCAGACAAAAAAATGGAATATTTAAATGAATATTTGTTTTCCTGTAGTAGTGTTTTTCAACCTTTTTTGTAGAGCAAAATCCCAATAAACATTCCAAATGCTAGAGGAACCCCTGTGCAATAGTTTTAATGTCTTAACTCAAAACATCATTTTAATAATAAAATGTAATTGTGTAAACTTCTAAATGAAAGCAAACCTAGTATTGGTAAAACAAAACAATTTTAAGTGTAGCATAGCAAGATTAATAATAATATTGGCAGATCTGATTAGCATTTAATTATATTTGACCCTTTCCGTGCGGTGGGCACGTATACGTACCAACGACAAAAGTCGCTATATTGCGGCGGGTACGTTGATGTACTTCACTGTTTTATTTAGCAATTGGTCGCAAACTGTTGGTCTAGTTTTTCCGGGTTTTAGTTTATTGATAAGAAGTCTTCTTCGAGATTAACATAAGCGACGGTAAATCTCGCTTTCGTTTACGACAGGAATTTTATTTGCGAAGGAACGAGGGAGTGGTTTTGAAATTTATGCAAATTTCTGTGTTTTTTGGGTGGTAATAGAAGACATATTATCCCTTCCATCTACCAAAGTATTTTGAGTTAGATCACGAAATTGCTACAGCAATATTATGCTATTGTTTGCCAACCACGAAGCGGTAACAGTAAAGGATTTAGCGAATATTTCTATTTTTTATCACGGTTTGAAGTTTCAACTCCCAAGAAAAAAAAATGCCTTTTTTCTATCCGGTTTGTGACTCAAACCACCACTTTTAAAAAAACTTTTTTTTTAAACGCCAATTGCAAGCTCTTTAAATAAGCTTTCCAACAAGCCGTCAGTGGGCAGCAGAGGATCATTAGTTTTTCGTTAGTCGATCGATTAGTTGTGGGGGTACAAATGCATAAAATCGGCGTAGCAAATACGATTATTTAATAAAAAATAAAAATCGCATGGAAAGGGTTAAACAAAGTTTGTTAATAATATGGGCTCGTGGATTTGAATTTAAACTTGCAGAATCCCTGCACTGTACTGGTGGAAACCTAGAATGCTGCAGAACCCTAGTTGAAAATTTCTACCTATAGTGCCAATGGAAAAAGTTTTTGATTACCCCCTGATCTAAATATTATATAGTGCAATATCAGATATCAAAAAACTTATATAGTTGTGCATTTTCAAAAAAAGTAGTTTTGTTCTGGCTCCTGGGCATTAAAAGCAGTTCAAATTAAAATGACAGGTCAAAATCCCATATTCATTTGTATTCTGTTTCTTTTTAGAAAGCAGAAAGTGATTTGTCAGCATATTCTGATGCAAAGAAGAAAATCACTGAGTTGGAAAATGAATCCCTTGAATCAAAGAAATTTGAACAACAACTTATGAAGGTAATAATTATGATAACATAATCTTGTCTTTTTCATAATAGAATTAGGAATTTTCATGATTTGTGATATTTTCACCATCAGTTATTCTTATGCCTCATTAATGTAGGGTATACAACATATTCTGTGTGAATCCAAGAGATGAATATTGACTGAGTGTGAAGGGGCTGACACCATTGTCCATTGGTATATATACACTATACAGCCTTAGGAAGATTTTTTCAAGTTGATAACAGTCTTCAAAGGGATGTTAGGTCCACCCATTTATCAACTATGACTTATCAGGATAGCGTCAATGGGATTCGTTTCCACTGTTCTACGTAGTTTTTGTATGCTTCTATTATGAAACTGCTAGGGATAATCTGCAAGACAACATTATTATTTCAGTTCATATTTTTACCAGCGTACATGTATATAAATTAATTTTCCACTTTAGGTAGATGGATGTGGTCTTTTCTGTTATGATTTAAAATTGGGAGGTGGTAACTTCAAGTACTTGAATAATATATCTGATCTATTGATTTTTGATTTGTTTCAATATCTCGTTTAGGAGACTGATCGCCTTCATGCAGAAGTGAAGAAATTAAAGAAAGAGAACTCTGAAGTTAAGCAAAATTCAATGAAAAGAACTTCTGATGCTTCAGAGTTAAAACAAGTTTGTGTTTGTCACAATATTGCATTTTGAAGTCATATTATTAATTCTCTCTGCTTTGTCATGTACTACAGCTCAAATTGTGACTTTCGGTTTTCATTTACCGGTAATATATAGTCTATAAAATCAAGTATATATATATATATCTATATAATCTAGCTAGTATATAAAAATTTGGTAGCAATTCTGTTATTGATTTACCCTATCAATGCATCGACTCTATAATCAATAAAATGGATGGTTCCCAGAGCATCTACTTCCTTGTTTACTTCCGTGACATTGGCTAATAAGCCAGATGCAAAAAGTGGTATTACAATAGAAATTTTGGCAGATGTTCAGACACTATTGTCACTCTAACAAATTTTAAGGCATGGTTGTGGTAAGCATTACCTTGTTTTCATGGTTTTGCATGCTATTTGTCAGATTTTAGCTATATTTTTGGAATTTGAGTGTGAATAGTGAAGATAATCACAATTTTGGGTAGGTTGTCAAAACCTATATCGCTAAACATGCAACTTCTATTATTTCTATCACAAAGCTTGCCACATGTTCACAATATGATCACCAAAATTTACAAGTACCTAAATTACTGTTAAATCTTATTCAGGATGTTGCTATATTAACCCAAGATAGAAATGATTTGCTGACTCGTGTTGAGGATTTACAAAAACATCTTGCTGATACTAAAAAGGAGAAGCAGACACTCGAGGAAGAGTTGAGAGTAAGATTTTCAAATTATCAAATTAATTATCTCTGAAAAATATTTGATAATTTTACACATAAATTTTTAGGACGTTTGCTTATATTCATGGTCGTGGTGCACTATTTTAAATAATACGAATAAATCAGAGTATTATGGGATTTCCAGATCTTCTATAATTCGTTTCATCAATTATCAGGAATTGAGCTTATGCTGATTGCTGAATTAAGCCACATCATGTCAAAATTTATATATATATGTATAAGTAAATGATAGCACGCACCTTACACTTAAAAGTATAGCATAAATTTTTTTGCATTAAGGAAAACCTTGCCAATACCACCACAGTACAACTTAATACTGAGTTATCTGTCCTGAAAAACACAGTAGCAGAAAAAGAGGCTTCAATACAAAGACTAGATTCGGAAAAACATGAATTGTCAACAAAATTCACAAGTTTGGAGGAAGAAATGGCTAGCTTTCAAAGAAAAGTTGATGATACACAAAAAGGGATGAAAATGGTACATTTTGTACAGTTTTTCATTCTCATCATCAGTTTAGTCAATAATAATATGCATTTGGGCTATGACGAATAATAATTGTAAATTATAATTTCATGTTCAAACATAACATATTGAAAATAAATTTGTGTTCAAGATCATCCTCCTAAAAAAACATACTTCCCAATCCCATATTTTTTTTGTAATTCGATGTTAATAGTTTACCATTGATTTTGAGCATGTTTCCATCTCGTGTATTTGTTCTCTTACTTTCAAGGAAAATGAAAAACTACAAAGAGAAATTGAAGATGTTAAAAAATCGAAAAGCAAGTTAGAATTAGACCTGGAAGAACGCGGGAATCAATCAGATAAATTACAGCAAGTCGGTGGCATTTTTATTTCAAATTTTGATTGAAATACATCAAAATACACACTATTAGTTTATTTTTGTTTTTAAGCTATTTTAAAAAATGTCTCTGACTAATATCAAATTCATAGCAACTTTCTCATCAAGTTTTAAATAAAAAAACAGACCTTACCAAGTGAGATGTTTTGAGCGATTACAATTAAGTAACAAATCTATACGATGGAAGTATGATATATACATGCTGGACTTGGACCCATAGATTACAGCATGAAATATAATCTAATGAGTTTTAGACATGATAACGTCATGTTTTTTCATAAAATATGAAGTTTTACAAATACAGCGTGACCCCCCAAAGAAAAAAACTGAGGTCATTTTGAACATATTCTAGAGAGAATAACTTTTATACAAAGCATCCCAGGTTACTGAAACTTTTGGGTACAAACATACACAATCGGAAGTGCAAGTGTCAAATAAATTTTTTTTTTATTCTTGTAGTAATTAATAAATTTACGGGTTTTATTTATTTCTGGGGGTCACCCTGTACTTTTGCAGCCAACATAAAGATTCCCACACATCCTACTGCCTTATTACATAATTTATCTTTGATTTCAGAATGTTGACAATCTTAGAACTGAGCATGACAACATGACAAATGAGCTAAATGATTTGAAGAAGATTTTGGATGAGAAGGAAAAGGAAAAGAAATCAATAGAAAATGTTAATAAGGTAAAAGTAATGTTCCATTTTTTGAAAGTGACGAAGCTTTTTTTCCACACTCAAAATGCAAAATAATTCCAATTTGTTTCGTTAATATCAAGTGTAAACTCGTGCTGATCTCCAATTTCGAAACTAATAATTGTTTCAACTTTTAATGTTGTTTATTATAATTTTACAAAAAGAATATTCAAGAAGAATTAAAGAAGACAAATTCAGAAAGTGATAAACTTAGCAAAGAATGCAAACAATTCCAGAAAAACATAACATTATTGGAACAGAAGGTTAAAAAATTGGAGACAGAAAGAGAAACGGTGAGTGCTGTTAACTATGGGTGATAAAAACGTAACCATTTTTAGTTGCTTATAAGTGATTCCAGATTCTGTAACTTTCAACTGACCACGATAGACTTCGGTCAGACAAATCATTACAAAAATATATTTTTGTTAGGACGCAGCAAGACTCTTCAATCACTTAGAATAGTATATAATATATATATAATACAGCAACAATACAGTGTCAATGTTCACCAGCGCAAAAGCATAGGAAAAGGATAAGTAGTTAGTCTTGTGGAAACCCAATTGATAGCACTAGTTTTAAATAGATTGCAAAAAATAGTCAGTAATTTATTAATACACGTTTGGTTATAACTGTATCATGTTAAACATCTCTGTTTTTTTGGACAGAATTCCAAGTCAAAAACTGATACTGAGGAATCCAATACAAAATTGACTGAACAAGTTAAAGAAAAACAAAGTGAATTGAATAATTTAGAAAAAGATTTTGAAGTATATAAAATGAATTCTGACGAGGAGATAAAAAAATTGAAGCAGGAATTCGAAAGTCAGATGAAAAAGGAAAAAGATTTTTATGAAAGAGAGTTGAAACAACATGAAAAACAGGTAATGGATAGAGAAATATTCATAAATATTAACATTTTTTCGAAAATATTTGTCCCAATTCTTAGGATTCGAAAACAAAATCAGCTGCAGAAGAAACCAATGCAAAACTAACAGAAGAACTGGAGAATAAGCAGGACCAATTTCATAAATTAGAAAAGGAGTTCGAAAATTTTAAAAAGAAATCTGGACAAGAGATGGAAGCAATGAAAAAGAAATTACAAAATGAGATTTCGAGTGATAAAGCTACACACAAGAAAGAATTGAAACAATTGGAAACTAAGGTTGGTAATTTGTTTTCAGTCATATCTTTGAATGGTGGAACATAATGTATAGTTATTTTCATATAACTAGTTATTTTGGGGATTATTTAAAGGAATGCTGTTACAACAGCTTCTTCCATTAATTCTCTATTTATTTTTAAGATTTGCTTGTCAAATAACAGTGGGCAGCAATATTGCATGTTCCTTTTTAATTATTTGGTTTCTGCGAGATAAACTACTTATCCTTCTTCTATGCTTTTGTGCCGGTGGATTCGTATGCATATATTGCAAGGATGCTGTAGCAAGAGTAGAGATAACAATCCTAAGTGATTCCTTTTTAATGTTGTTGAATTTTGTAATCTGTTGTCCAAAAAATTGGGTACTCTCGTAGTATGTGTACCAGGTTAGGGTTAGGCCATAATTTAATTCCGATTTTCCTTATTTTAGTTCTATGACGAGTTTGGGGACTGTCTGTGTTAGCCAAGTGAATATACCCCCTGCCCATAGGTTTCAGTCCCTTTACACAACTTGATGTGAAGTAGGCGAACAAAACTACTTACCTCCATATTGGTACATATACTTCTGGAGCACCAAAAATTGTTCTATATATTGTATGAGCTGATTCAATATTTTAGAAATATTTCCGTTGCTGATTTGATATTGGTAAAAGAATAATTCAGTTAGAACATCAATCGAATGGTTCAATTTAGTTGATACTTCGGAATTGTAATACATATTATATTCTCTGTCGATAGCTCACACCTGCCCATGAAGTTTTTAAATATGTTTTATTTAGTTAACAAAAGCGATTGAAAGTAAAGACAAAGAACTGACACAATTCCGTGAAAATAGAGATAGAATTGTTGCTGCTCTCGAAGTTCAGATTAAAAATGACAAATCAACAAATGAGTTATTAAAGGTTTGTTTCCTGTATCATTGTTTACGCTCAAATTGGTGTGATAATTCATGAGATTTACTGACAAAATTCTTTTTGTATTCGGATATTTAGAGCATAGCACGAACATTCTTCGTTTTTACAAGAAAACTTCTTCAATAATTAGTATTGAATTTAATCATGAATCTCACTTCATATTCTACTTCGGACTCTATGAACTTAACGATTGATTTATGGAAGAATATATTGCAAATTTGTAATTTGGGTTACTCTCCCGTTTTTAGGCTAATCTCGATGAACAGATGGCGGAAGTTGTCCAACTGAAAAGTCAAAATGCTGCGGTGTTGGCCCAAAGTACAGATTTGAAGAAACAACTGGAAAAAAAATCAGCTAACTCACGAAAACAGTCATTGGTTAGTTTTTATGTAGAATTTCTCAACCAGTTTTTCTGTTCATGTTCGTGAAGTATGGTTAAGACGATAAAATAATTGATGAAAACAAATAAATTAAAAATGATTACAGAATCAGAAAAGTAAACACTCACCTAAAAGTATTAAATTAATTTCGACTCACTCACACGCAGCATGATAGTTGTTCAGAAGTTGATGATCATTATTTCAATGTATTTAGCACTATTATACCACATGGATTAGTTTAGTATCGAATGTAGGTTCTTCATATTCAGAAAATTCCATAAAGCACTGTTTTATAAAATACCAATCCTTTTGTATTCTAATATTCAACTTTAGTATGTTATATATTATCTCTAAATGTATATGGTATTCAGCTCTGCCACTGTTTTTCTTATTATTTGTTGAATTTCATTTTTGATTTTGAATTGAATTTTAAAAACTTCAGTTTGGATGCATATCTGAACTTATTTTGTTTCATTTTTTAGAACAAGAGTGCATCAACATCTGCGGTTGTTAATACCGATAGTATTGTTGCCGTCAAAAGAGAACCTATGTCTCCACAGCATCAGGTTCGCTGATATCATGATTTCCATTTTTATAATTAATACTTTCCTATGGTTATTATAGCCTTTTTTTACATATATATGTGTGATATCCAAGAAGAATCAACTTCACAATATACTTGTAATACTGAAAAGAACGTTACTGCTATAGTGGTCATTTCAAACAGTGGATATTTTAAACACGAAATTCTGAATGTTGGAATAAGCTCGCTTTCGTTAAGTTTTGATTTTGTAATATTTCAAGTTCACTTACTGATGTTATAACTTAATTTCAACTACCGACTTTTAAGCATTGAAATCAATTTAGGAACAAGTTGTTTCTGCAATGAAACGTCGTGCTGACACACTGTCACCTGTGAAAGGCAGCAGTGGTGGAGAATCACATTCTGGGGCATCAGAAGCCGAAGTCACAGTTCCAACTCGCACCTCAGCAGGTAATTTCCCTATTTTTTTCTGTTGTAGGATTTATGCATGTTCTGCTGTCATTTTCTGGCAGTTATTTATATATTATGATATGTAATTTATTTGTATTAGCCATATCTTCAATTAATACAGGGAGCAGAAAGAATAGTAGTACAAGAGGAAGAAAAAGAGGAGGCAGTAATGTGGGAACTCGAGCAAGTTCAAGAAAAACCAAACGAGTTACTGGAAGGCCTGCTACACCATTACCTGAGGCTGTACCAGGTAATTCGTATTCATTTTGAATTTACTCAAAAAGCCATTTGTAAATTATACGATAGTACTTTATTTCAAACAGATTTGCCAGGTCGTTAGAATCCACACGGAATATATGTATGTGCCGTTGGCGTTGTTATCAGAAACTTGTAGAAGTCTTTTCAACCAAGGGTGTAATAAATTGGATAGCAGTAAAACATGTGACAAATTTTTTCCAATGCTTCATGTTTTTCATGGCCTTGTAGTTTTAACTAAACTTCACGACTCAGCATTCTCGAACTTCCAGGAAAGTTTTTGCATCCATTGAAGGTGCTCACACCTCTGGTTAAGATCAATAGTCCAAATAGGTACTGGAAGTGATCTAATCATGTTATGATATACACCTCTTTTCAATTTGGATGTATTTCGCCTTCTAATTGTGCTTAAAATATTTCAATTGTTAAAATAACTGGCTGCATATAACATGCGTTTGCGTCTCACTAACATCTGGCTATTTATATTTAATGTGTTTCTTTAAATGTCATGATCAATGCTGTGTCGATTAATTCAAGTGAAAAAACAAATGTGGAACAAAATGAAAAACAAATTTCCATTTTTGTTAACTTATAGCGGAGGATGATGACGATGATGATAATGATGATGATTGGGCAGCCTCATCTTCAAAGAAAAAACGTCAAACAACCAGAAAAACCAATATAAAGGTGATAGATTCTCTATTTTGAATAATGATTGATAGTAAATTATAGCCAAACATGAATATGTGTGTGAATATTTGCGTGTTTAAATTTACGTAATCATTGAAAATATATATTTCATTTTTTTAGGCAGAAGCGGTGGAAGAACAAGGTGTACTGGATGATTCTGAATTGATGAGAGAAACTGGTTAGTTTTTATTCAGAATTATTCAAATCTTTGACATTATTTTTTGATGTTGCAAACTATTTAGCTTCATATTAACTTTGGAAAAAATGTTGAATCAATTATTTAGGAACTTTCAGGAAATAAATTGTAATAATAATGTTTAGTAATTTAATTACCGTATTTTCTCGAAATTACGCCTATATCGCGAATAGGTCCTACGAATCGTTACACGCCGGATGCCTCAAGAAAAACGTAGAAAGAGAACAAAATTACTGCAACGCAAACATTTCTCACGTTTATCGTCTCTGCATGTTAGCGAGGGCCGTAGGTGGATTTTTACCCGTTACTTAACTCTTACTTGCTAATTTATGTTAATGAAGTCTATATTGCTTTTCAATGCGTCGTGATTGTGTCAGGAGTTTAAATAGAGTTCCTGAATCAGCATAAAACAATTTCCTTTGATTGCCACAACGACGATTAATTTCGTTCCTTGTCCGTTTCAAGGAAAGAAATAACGCTGTATTAACACATTCTTATAAATCGCTACGAATCTTAACACGCCAGACGCCTTAAGAAAGGCGCAGAAAGAAAACAAAATTGCTCTAACACAAATATTTCTCACATTTATCATTTCTGTTTGTTAGCGACGGCCGTAGATTCTTACTCGTAACTCTTACTTGTAAATTCATGTTAATAAAGTCTATATTGCTTTCCATGCGTCGTGATTTGTATTAATGGAAGGGATTGTTGTTGGGAGTTTAAGAGAGTCCCTGTGTCAGCATAAAACAATTTCCTTTGATCGTCCACAACGCGGTTAATTTCGATAAGAGTTCTTATCACCGCCCCTTAAAATGTCGCGCGTCGTTAATTGCCTCTACGGCGATAGGGCACCAAATAATAACTTTTTCGCCACGAAACAACTGGCCGTAAATCGACACTGTTGCTGTTATGTAAAAGAAACAAACCAATTACAGACTGTACAAGCGTCACGTGTTAAACAACCAATCAGAGACTGTATGCCATCAGCTGTATGATAAGACAATCCACCTTCACAAGCGATTGTGTGTGTGCGTGCACGCTTTTTATCGTGAGAACTATCGGTATGGTTTGAAGCTTTTGGAATTACCGGCAAATCAGCATAATATCATCTCGTTGCGTGATCAAATTCTGATGCGCGAATGAGCCGATTTTTTGGTGCAACCTGAGTTATGCGCGAATAAGTTTGGCAACTTTTTTTTTGAGTTTTAAAGTCGGCCTATTCGTGAGCATATACGGTAGCTTCTCACGTTGTCATCTTATATTTCTTGAATATCAATTCTATATATATTTTTTAAATAGTGAGAATTCATGTGTTTTTTTAGCATTCGATTTCGCATTTTTTACATTACATTTCAGGTAATTCTCGTAATTTTCCCCAACCCACTATGGAACTAGATGTCACTCCACAAGTTAAAAAAACGAAGAAAGCAAGAAAGCGAGGAGGAACAAAAAAGGATGACCAAGAGCATGATTCAGTAAGAATGATATTACTGTTTTTTTTTTTTAATATTCCAAAAGGTACATTGTGATATCAGGATTGCCATAAGATGGCATCCATCTTCATATAATTATTTCATGGTATAGAATCTATAGTCTAAATATATATCTATAGTCTAAATTTTTATAAAAAGCAGTAATTTTCTGAAAAAAACCCAGATGTGCATGAAATTATGGAATGATAGATATGGAATGTATTTCTAATTTTAAGTATTGTGACTTGCTAAGATTTATTAGGTCTATCATTTTGTGAACTTGGTTATTACTAATGTCAATGTCCATAATGGTCTGTTAGCTCTATGAAATCATTCACACTTTAAAGTTTTGTTTAAGTCTAGTTTTCAACTACAGTTTGGACTCTTGACTTGACTTCTTTTGATTGGGCTTTCCTTTGCTGAATCTGTAGAAATCTTATTATAGCATTGTTAAAAATGAGAGAAATTTCAATTCAATGAATGCGAAAATCTTTCTGATTTAATTGTTACAGCCTGCAACACGAGAAGAATCTCCATTCTCGAAACGATTCAAATTTTTTGAGAAATTTATCAGTAATGATGTAAGGCATATGTTTAGACGCATGAGCATGTAGTGTTTGGTAGTTCGTACAATATATAATAAGCTCATACGCTTCAGCCTTCAAAGTTCAAACTATATAATACTAGTAGCCTTCCGTATTATGTACTTGGTGGAACTTAATTCATTAGATTTCTAATCTTCCACTAAACGTTTCTTTTCTGCTCTTTTAATATATGAAGTCAACAGCATCAGGTCAGTGGAATCAAGAGTGTAGCCATTTTTGCAGTTACTGATTTACTGAAAATTTCAGACTTATAAAAATCGAATTCTTTGCAATTTTTGATCGTAACTAGAATAGATACTTTGTATGGCTCAGTCTGTGACTGAAATAGCATATCTTCTGACACCACCATCTTGATGCATATTGCAAGTAGATTATTTGATATTGTTTAATTAAAACTAATTTGCTCATTTTACACCCGTCGGGATAAGCAATGAATCAAGCAAGCTTAGATATTTAGATATATTTTTATATGATTAAATTATGTTCATTCACTTCGATTCAAGCAAGCAATTATTAAGTATTAGAGACTATGCTATTTCATTGATTTTTCTCTGCTATTTCTTCTACATCTCTGACTAATATTGAAAAAAAATGATTTCCTTTTCATAAAAAGTTACGAAGAAAATTTTGTAACTATTGCAAAAACAAATATGGAAATTAGTTATGCATGGAATAAGAATTATTGAAACTATTACAATATTCAAATTCATTTGAAATGAGTGATGTTCTGACATATCTGATATTTAGACCAAGTATAATATCATTTTGACTTCTGATACAATCTTAGCGGGGTTGATCTCAATATCTTTGATCTGCAAAGATCAATCTTCATAATTATAACTTGGTTTTTCGCAAATTTCTTAATCGAGTATGGCCCTAATCAGAACACATCCAGATCCAGTATCCCCTAATTATATTTAAAAAATATTATCTTATAATGTATTTAAATTTACTAGGTTTCAGATATTTTTGTGCAAAACTATGTAACTAACAGCAATGCAAAGAATGAAATTCCATAATCCAGAGTATTATACATACAGTTTGTCAACTGTAACAAACAATAGTTGAAACTTGAAACTAAATATACAAATCTTATATGATCAGCAGTATTATCACCAGCATTATTACACCGAGTGCATCAATAGAAAAACAATCATTACTGTCTAATTATCTTAACATCATGAATGATTGAAATTGTAATACTAACACTCCATTTACAAACTCTAATTTTATTTTTAGTCTTAGTAATTTGAATGAAGTTTCATGAAAAAAAAAAATACGTATTCTGATTTCTTATTTATATTTGTTAAAAAAGTATTTTTCAATTCAGGAGGATGCAGGACCAGGAACATTAAAGACAGGAAGGTCGCTGCGAGCAAAAACTCGTGGTACAAATAATGCTAATAATTCAAATAATTCTAAAACATCGGATGAAGACACAGCATCAGTTTTATCTCTTACGGCATCTAAAAATTTAACCAAAGTTGGAGATATGCTGAAAAATTCACCAGTGGCTCAAGGTGATCCCTATGCATAAATACTTCATTTATTCAATCTTCAATAGATACTTTACCAGTGCGCAAGTAGCACTCCTGTTTTTGCACAGCTCAAATAGTTTATTGTGTGATTATAAATAAGTATTATTATAGTAATAATAATAAAAATCAACTAAAGATTACTAGTAATACTACAGCGAATACAAAGCAAAATTCCTCTCGTCACAGGTTGGGAAACCTTGAAGTTGGTTGCGTACGATAGCACAAAAACAACAAGTTTTTTCTGGAATTAATAACTTGTGACAACACCTACTCAATAATTTACATGTTAAGTTGGAATATATTCCCCAAATATTGCTGTGTCAATAATTGTTTACTTCTCTGTTGTCTATTTTAGTAGTAGATAGTTTAAAATGGGTTTCATTTATTTTATCGCTTACTGTTCCATGTAGCATTAGAAATAGACTCTAATTTTTCTGTCAATTAAGCATTTCTGATTTTTATTTATCTTTTTCAGCTTTGAAAGCTGCTAAAGATGCAATTGGTCCTGCCACCAAGTCACCTAAGAAAGCTAAAAAACAACCAGAAGAACAGGTATCATATCAGCATGCACTTAAGGGATTCTGTATTGTATGCTTAATGTTTGAAGGAAGAAGAATGTGTTGTATATAGTTCTGAACTATTCTGCTATTTTATTGATCTAATACACTATAATACTTTCGGCACTCCAGAAATATGTGTACCAATATGAAGTTACATTATTTTGTTCGCCTATTTTATGTCAAGTTGTGTGAAGGGACTGAAACTTATGAGCAGGGGGTATATCCACTTGGCTAACACAGACAATCCCTGACTCATAATAGAACTAAAGTAGGAAAAATTGGAATAAAATTATGGTACACATACTACAGGAGTACCAGAGATTCTCTATCATTTGCTTTCTATTGCTTCGCTTATTTCATCTATCACATATTGCTGCAATGTAACTTTTACAATATAGTGTTATGTTGCTATCCTAGATTTAAAATTTGGTCTCTCAAGTTTTGATCACCTTATGCCAATTTTGTATTTACCACGCTGTAATCTAAGCAGCACATGCAAAATAGTCCCTAATCAGTCATAAATATTGTACAAATTTTATGTATGTTCAAACTATTCTCCAAAATTCCTGTTTAAGTATACAGTGTTGAGAAAGTATAATATAATATAGCATATTCACTTGCAATATATAGAGTGTTCTTGTATGAAGTTGGTACAATATTTAAATTTCATCTTTATTTATATTCTATTAAGCAAAAGAAATCTAGAAGAATGGTTAAACTTCATCCTGAAGATATTTCTCTCCCTCTTGAAGCTACACCTTCGCCTGAACATATTCGAGATATGGCCACATCTCACGGAGTCGGAGAAACTCCGGCAAGAATGATGCGAAGACTTCGGAACAGAAGATGAAGAAGATGTATATATATTTTTAGCATTGGCTATATATGGAACGCACAAGAATGCACAAATTTGAAGGAAAATGTATATTTTGTACTTTAACAGTTTTGGCAAAAAACGAACATGAAATTTCGAATCCTGATCCAGTTAATGTAATATGTCTTGTAAAGCTTAATACACAGTGGAAGGATTTTTGTTTATGTATGTGTTGTATTGTAGTGGAGTATTTCATTGCATTTTCAGTCTGTCTCATTGGAGGCGAAATAACTGGTTAACAGTGGTGAAACATTTAATATTCAAAACTTTTGGCAAGCAATGGTATTTAGTATTTTTATACAGTCTGAAGTATTTTTTATAACCAAACTTACGAATGCTGCTTACTTTCGATGTAAATTTGCGCTTCCATTTCCTGCCTATGATTTTCATTAACTGCTAAGACAACAATATTTCATAGAATGTGTGGTCAGTGGGTTAAATAATATTTTGATAGTGCAATGCTACTGATTCTAATTCACAGAGGACTAGGAGTAATATTGAGTTGCTATTTGTGTTTATTTATTATTTGTATATAAGTCATAAGTGTTGACTGCCAGAGTTATCTTTACCCATGATTTAGGGTTAGGATATTCCTATCCTCTCTACATGAACTGCTAGGGAACCATAGTTTGAACATATCTACTTGTGGTTTGTGAGACGCTGATTAATTCTATTTTCTTTATTGGTTTGTGTATGTCACAGAATTGCTAAATTTGATATTTCCAGACAATAAATATCGATGTTCAATCATACTTCACTAATCTAATTTTCAAGTGTTCAGCCAGCATCCAGTATGTTTTAACATGCATGATTGCTTATTGCGTGGACGACTTTTCTTTGGTGTTTTAAGTAGAGCAGTCTGTTTGGGAACCTGTTTCGCCAGAGTTCGTACCGATCAGCAGTTATTTCATAGTTGTGCTTGTATTTGATTTATTTATCTGAATGGTGTTCAGCAGAAGCCCATCATTTTCGCCAATACATCAGCTGTAATTACTAGAGATGGATCAATTTTCAGATTTATGTCGAAACCAGCAACTGTCTTTAATAGATTCTGTTTTGCTAATTTACAATCAAATTTAAATGCAGATATCAAAAAAGACAAAGCTTTGTGTTATTGTTGTTAATGTAGCATGTTGGACAATTAGGCCTACCTGTTGCCACACCAACCCATATATAGCCTTACCTCGCACAACTGTCTGTTCGTAACAACAGCATATTCGAAAAAAATTCATCAAAGTCTGGTTATCAAAATGTAGCAGAGGGCGCAGAACATACACACATTATACAGTGGCGAACCGTTTCGTCCATAGTGTTTTAAAAGCAATCAATTACTTGCCACAGAAACCACGAGAAGTATTTAAAAGGAATAGTAGAGATATATTATATATATATATCTGTGTCACAATCAGTTGAACTCGAGGATAGTTTATCGTGCAAAATGTATGTATATGAGGGCGTGAATTGAGCGGAGTCGATTTTTGAACCAGGTTGCAACGAGACCCAGCTATTTACGATAAAAATCAACAATGTTGAAGAATATCCTCAAGTAGTTGATCGAATACTTATTGTCCGTTCTCGTCTTTACAAAATGTGATTCAAATTGTTCGCTACGCTATCGTTCAGTTGGATGACTATGTTGGCACGAGCGCCGAGATTGTGATAACCCGAAACAAGTTGTTTCATTCCAGTAAATATTTCCATGTTGTGTACCAAACCACCACACAACATAAAAATCGTAAGTACGCATTTGTGAGGCTTTTGGGGAAGATATTGTTTCGGCCTTAGTATTTACGTAAACGCCCTAATCCGGTTATTTTTTTATATAAAATTGTTTTGAAGCAGTGGCCAAAATTTTGCATTAACTTACTAAAACTTACCCATATATTAAAAACTCATCAAAACGCACCTAAACCTGGCAGTCGTATTTTGAACAATCGCTTATGATCGTTCCAAATCAAAATGCTACAAAATAAAACTTTGATATATATATATATATTGAAATGAACCATATTTATTATGAATTCTCAATGGGCACAGGTCATTGCATCGGTGACATAGTTAACGTATCTTTCTCCACCTCAACCCATTAGCGATCTGAGTAGACAAAGAAAGACATTTTTCCACTGTTGGAAGTTTCCGCAACCTCCGAATAACATTAGTCAAAGCAATTTTTGAAATATTCAATTGGTGCTTCCGTCGTTTTTGATACATGCAGACAACCTTTTCAAACAGGCAGGTTTCGTGATAATTCCGGACCACTTTCCTGTGCAATCCTGCATATAGGCTTTTCTCGTTGAATATTGGATATTGATGCTAGAAACTGGCGGCTTGCCAGATTGCACACTTCTTTCATTACAAGAACTTACTGAAATCAGAGCATGGTTCCTGTTTTTAGTGGTTCAAATACAGTAGGCCCACGGTATACATTATATGAATACCCTACAAGTGTGAAGCGGACAAAAAATTTTTACGTTATAGTCAAGCCCCTCGATAACAGAAGCAGAACCTAACCAAACTATTTCGAGGCTCGAGGAAGTATTTATTGAAAAAAATGAAAAAATTTACATACTACATACACATCTTGATGAAAAAGTTATACAGTCAAGCTTCATTTTTGTCAACACAATATAAAAAAATCAAAATATTTTTGCAATCAACATAAACATACTACATAGCGTTTTTTTATTAAAGAATTATACAGTCCCAAATATAAATATGTTCTTGTCCAGTTCAAGCTCTACGCCGTCACGTAGGCTTACTTTGTTGCATACACGCAACCTGTTGTAGATATTATGAGCGAATGTTACTATAGCACATATAATTGGCAAATGAATGTGATGTTACCGTATATTGCTATTTCCTAGACCGTCTCAGAACTGCCAGTCGCCCGTTCACCCTTCAGCTTCAACCCCCATGCGAATGAAGATACGTTAAAAATCTCTATATATATGTTTTTATTCGTAAATTTCCACGACACACAGAATACAAATCTTAAAACATTCATCCAGACTGGCTTTTCATGGTTTACATAGTCCTTATCGAAAGATATCGGAGTCGTATTTATACGTCGATCATACATCTAATTAAATACTGTAAACGAGAGCTCGTGATTCACGTTATAAACAGAAACTCCTATTATCTCAATAAGGGTAATCATGTACATCGTACGGATGGGAACTTAGATATAATTATTTCAATCAGTGCCAAAGGTGAGAATATAAATTTTAATTTGATAATGACTGGGTGGAACATGTTATGTTCTTAAAACTGGTGTAATTTGATTCCTGCGAAAGTCTTTGTTCAAATTTTGGGAAAAATTAACTTTGTTTTGAGGATTTCAACATGAAATGGGGTACAGTTGGGGGTTAGTTGCTATATTACAACTTCGCGATAGTTAATAAACTTAGCGACAATTGGTAATACAGCGTCAGCAGTAGGCCTAAACAAAGAATGGTTCGGCAAAACCCTTTTTAATAAATCAAATAAGCCTACTGATAATAACCTATATATATATATAAGAGTAAGTCTCCCGAATCCCTGCGTTAACTGATATATATAATAATATTAACGGTTGATCAGCGTATCGCGTACCTAACTATAGGAACTACGCTCCCTTTTTTGTACTCGTATCTGTGTAGATACGACAACATGAGATACTGTAGCAGGAATACTCACTTATATTGAATGGTTCAAAAGCAAACTAGCAGTTTAAAACAATGATATGAAAAACATTCATATGTAACCAAAGAGCAAAAAACAGAGCAGAACGTTTTGAAAATGAATTACTCAAATTACGACGAGATCAAATGTCAGCGATTAGGCCAATAAAACCATTTAATGAGATATTATTGATCATATGCAAGACGAGAATATTTTTCTCTGTGTAAAATTCCGAGTTCAAAGTGAAAGGAACGTTTGGGTTCTTAAATATTTCAATACGATAAATATCAGTCACACAATGTCTCACACGTATTTTTATCAGGAAATTCAACAAACCAATGTGAGCTACGGTCTACTAGTTTTCTTTTTCAAAAAGCCCTGATATTTTACGCCCAAAAGACCTTGAAAGCTTCTCAACCAAACGACAGTTGGCATATTCGCATCGCTGCTTCGATACAATGGGGAAGAAAAATATTTCCGAGGAGCCTAAACATGACGTGTATTATTAAAAAGTACGTGGAATGAATAACACAGGCAAATTACTGAATAGCGGCATAGTTGGCATATGGTATTGAAATCAAATCTAAAAGCGGCGACGCAATATTGAAATTTCAATCTACTTTTAAATAGGTTTTATAACCATTGTTAAGCTTGAGCAGATACGCATTTAGTGGCAGAAGTAGCAGCTGACAGAAACGCTGTCTTCGCTTCATATGTTCATAGTTAGGGAGTTAAGCTATTTATTTAACCTAGCCGGCAATATAAAGATAATCAAAAATAAGGAATTTTTCAAACTAGTTATTAGTTGCTCGATAATTTTAGGGATTTTATCCCTTTTTTAAATCACCATGAAAAATACCGCATGTAGTCGACAAAACGGATAAATATGTGTCCTTAAATATTAACACATATCCGTTAATATTGAAAGTTGGTACAATCCAGTTCAGTCTACTGTAAAAAAAAACTTATTTAATTGGGCAAATTATTCTCGGGTATTTTTGTGAATGTTTCTAAAAAAGCAATTTCTATGCTACGAACGATTATTATAAATGTTTCCCTTTTTGGTACTGAAATACGAAAGTGTTCTATAAGTGATGGTCATATTCGCACTTCGCATTTGGAGTTGTATTTACGAGGAAATGATGAAAAATAGGAATGTTTATATGGCATTCAAAACTTCGACATTCGGGACAAAATTTATATATTTATATAAAACAAAAATAAACCAAATTTGACAAAGTATGATATCTTTATCATATATGTCAGATGTATTTTCGAGACGTTATTATTTTCATGCATTATTTACCACCGATTTTACCTAAAATATATGTAATCACTTTGAAAAAGAAAGTAAAGCTGATATACACTGGAAATGAAAAAATAAGCTAATCCGGGTATTCCATGTTACTTTCTAAAAGTACTCGCATATGAATAAGTTTTAAAGTTATTCAAATGTCAGACTTAGAAACAGAGGATCTATTCAATTAGATTAGATGATCCACCATGCCTATGTTGTGCTTGCAATTGCTTGTATGTTCATGGAATTCGAATGGGGTCCAAATTGAAATTATAAAAGTCATTATGTAACATGTCCACCGATTTTCATTTTCAATAGCTAAAAACACTACGCTAACTTTCTTCAACTTATGCTAATACATTTATAGCTTTTATCGGGTTTTAATCAAAATGTCTATTGACAAAATCAAACAAAAGCTGAACAAAAAGACTGAATCGCTTACTAAATTTTACGATCTTGCCGAATCTCATGGAATATTTAATAAGCTTCAGGTGCATGTCACACCTCTCCTAGAAGAAATAAACTTCTACAGTGGACAAAGACCACCAGAGCAGAGTTACAATCCGGATACTTCAAAGTCTCGCAGAGAATTGGTACAGAATAGAAAATTAAAAGTAAGATCACAAATAGATCTACCACACTTGTTAAAGAATTTTAACAATGGCAACATATGTTTTGTTGGGCCAGCGGGTAGCGGAAAAACGACTCTCATGAAAGCATTGGCACGGAGAGTCTTGGAAGGAGATTTCGAAAACCTCAAGCATGTACAGATAGTGATTTTTCTTCATGGAAAAGACTTACAGCAAACAAAACCCATGACTGCTCTCCAATATCTGTTGAATGCTAATGACGAAATATTAACAAGTGACGAAATAAAGAGTTTATTAGAACACCTGAATAAGCACCCTGAACAGTTCTTGTTTTGTTTGGATTCTCTGGATACAGTACCTTTCACACTTGCTGGAAATGACTACACACCCGTGGGTGCTGAAGAGAAGGCAAGTCCACAGAAAATAGTCAAAAGTCTGTTAGCTGGTGATCTTTTTCCGGGATCCAAGTTAATCACGTCGAGTCGCGAACATTCTATAAGAAACTATTCACCAAAAGTTCGCCCCAAGAAAGTTGTAGCGCTTATGGGCTTAACAACAGAATCTATCATGGAAATCATGGAAGGCTATTTAGGCGCAGATGACGCTCAAGAAACCATGCAGTATTTGCAGACGGAATCTCCAGCTCAACTTGCTCTCTGTAGCATTCCCGTTGTTCTTGTTTATACCCTCATTGGTTTAAAAACGGAATCCACCTACAAACCGACCACAATGACAGGAATCATGACATTAGTGCTGCTAAATATTTTACGCTCTCCTCATACGCACCAGGAGAATGTACTAGAAGTCACTGAAAAGCTAATGGAACTGTCGTACACGGGAACAATGGAAGGACGTGTTCTTTTCACGAATGAGGAAATAAAGTCAGTGGGATTGGATCCAACAGATGCTTCAGATTTAGTAATTTTTGCACCTGAAAAATGTCAGTACAGTCTCGCATCGAAAGATAACGTTATGTTTTTTCCTCATCAAAGCATTCAAGAACTACTTGCAGCCTTTTATATCGCTAAAATGAATGTAGCATCATTTCGGAAAACTGTCGTAAATGTGCTTAACACTCCTCAAATGTCGGTAATCAGGAGACTTCTTTATGGCGTGGTTCTTGATGAAGAAGTTTATACAGTTTTAAATGGCTTGTTTCAAGGTTAAATTATTTTTAATTTTTTTTTTTCAATTTTTCAAGGTGAAATCTGGTTATAAATGTGTTTATTTTTGATAAAACGACTTCAATATATTTGTGTAGTGTATCCAGTTCACATGTAACAACAAACTAATCGATTTAAATGTTATGTTTTTCTTATTTAACAGGAATGATCGTGGACATCGACGAAAAAAAAGTAATTTTACACAAAAATTTTCACGATTTGTTGCAAAGCATTTACGACAGTACAGATCTCCTGGAGATACTTTATTCGCTGTACGAAGCTAAGAACGGGATGGATAATATTGCAAAATCATCTTTGAATGATGTGGAACTGCATGGTCTCTCCCTAACTATGAGCGACATGCACGTGATTGGAACTGTGATTTCCCGTTCCATCTACTTGAAACGACTTATCTTTCACAGTTGCAATTTAGAACTTCAATCGATGAAAGTTTTATCACTTTTACTAGAAGGAAGTGCACTTAATGTAAGTGTAACACAACTTTTCTTTCACTTTTTGTTACTAGTTTGAAATGTCATTAAATAGAAAAAAAGAAGTTATGAAGTATTTTGGTTAAACATCAATATTCAATCTTATTAATTTGTACCATAATTTGTTATGCAACAAATATGTGTATTCCTCATATTGGTTTATGTTAGTAGGCCAGAATTTACCTGTCGCGCAAATTCGGCAAAATATTCAAGATGCTCAAATGGATTCAGAATTGTTTTATTTAATAAAATGTATATATATTCATTAATTGTTTTATTTTTGATTGTTGCGCCTTTTGCATATTTATTGACAAGAGATATATATATTTTGTGAACAATCACAGTTAAATATTAAACATGGAAAGCATGACTCGTATTTTGTTCAATGTTTTCATCAATATTTTTCATTTGCTCCTTTGTGTAGCCAATTAACAATTGAGTTGCAATTCTATTAATAATTTTCAGGTGTCTGAACTATGGTTAAGCAGAAACCCGAATATGGGTGTTGATGGATTAAAAATTGTTGGACAACTATGTGTGAATCTAAACGTTGAAAAGTTGGGCATTGGACTTTGTGGATTGAACAAGAGTCATTTTGAATCTTTGCAATCGACTTTGGGAAGTAAAAAAGTGAGATAACAATACGATTCTATTTTTTTTCTGCTTTTGTACCTATTCGTTCAAATCGTTTGACTTCTTTAATAAAACATGGCTAAATAGAAAATATCACTACGAAAACTTAGCAAGGTTGTGCAGGCCAGATTCGAGTTGTCGTTTTAAAGCTGTCAATGCCATAAAAAGTAATTATGCATTTTTCAACTTCAAGGACATCTCGAATTATATGTTTATACACAATAAATTGAACTTGTAAGCCTGTAGGGTAGTGGAGTTATGTAAATCATAAATTATTATTCCACCCGACAGTTCCAATACCTCAGTCTTGTGGAGAAAAGAGTTGCAACTTACGACGACGTTATTGGAGTTAAAAATCTCTTACGAAATATATCAGGACAAGTGTATTTATTGGATTGGCAGATAAAATCAGAAGAGAGAAAAATATTACAAGACGAACTGGAGAAACTAAAGCCAACAGTAATTTTTTTAATCAAATCACACAGAAAAAGTTTTTCTAATTTTGTGATATAAATTTCTTCACCAAAGTTCCTATTGAAAAATTTGTAAACCTATTATTTTAGAGTTTCGTTGTAAAATAATACATTTGATGTAGGCTATAAGTATACAAGTGTACACTTAAAACAATACAATCTCCCTTTTTTAGAGTTTGAAATTAGTGTTGGATGACTACAATTTACAACGCAATGAAACCGAGTTCGACAAACCTCAAAACGCAACAGTTTCTGTGACTAAAGGTTAGAATATGTATATTATACTCTTTGATGCAAAGGATTTGTACCTTTTTACAATATTTAATTGGATAAAACAAATTCTTATTTTAAGAATTGAATCCTGACGGTGATGTTTTAGAAATTGACGACATATCAATTGAATTTCCACGCGGTGCCGTTACAAAAAGAGTTGAAGCTTTTGCGAGTGTAGACCCAAGTTCATCGAATTGGCCAAACAATTCTGTCGGTGCTTCGCCAATGCTCACTTGCCGGGTTGATGGCTTCAAGAAATTTGAGCATCCAGTGCATGTCAAGCTAACAACGTGGATAGTACCAAGTGATGAAAATATGCAAGTGATAATAATGCGAAAATCGACAAAAGATAATACATGGATGGAATTGTGCAAAGGAAGATTTGGTGTCGACGGCAAAATTGAATTCACAACTGACCACTTCTGTTCAATTATTGCAGTGTTGCTCTGGCCTTTGAGCTTTTTTATGAATTATAAACTCAAAATTCAGCCATTCATTTTTCGTAAGGGTGGTACTCATTTTGCTGCGGCTTTTTGCAGAAAAAATATTACGCTGGAAAATATGATAAAGAAAAAGTTCGAAAAACATTCAGAAATCCAACCACTCAATCACATAGAAGCAAATACGTCGGATACACTTCGGTTGGATTTACAATGCGACCAGCAAAACGCGGTTTTTCAATTTATTCAGGGTGAATACCAAACATTTCCTGTATCAAAAGTAACTAGCGACGATTACAAGTTATATTTTACTCCTGATAATCTCGATGTTCCACAGCAGAAAATTATGTTGTCGTACAAAATGACAAGTATGGAAACACGAGGGGAACTTGATAAATATCTACTTGTGGTAGATTGGCCAACGGGTGAGTGAAATTGATATATTTTACCAATGTTGTTGATTTTGTCTGTATCCAGAGAACTGTACAAAGTATTATTGTTAACTATCATATATTTTATTGTACATTACTAAGAGAGATAAGCAGAACAGGTGCGCACCTGGGTGAACACTGCTTTCAGTATTATATATTGATTTTATCTCTGGACTTGGGAAGCATAAGCAGTAACTTGCAGAAAATCATATCCGCATCTAAGACAGGATTAGATTTGCAGAATAGTTGCCGTTTATTTATGTTATGCTATTATTTTGATAGATATTGAAGCACAAAGGCCAGAAACGCGACCGGTACAGGTTAGTTAGTAAAATATTTTACAATCTTCCTTTTTCTCAACACCTTTTATTTTGTAGGATAAAACAGAATATATGTAGTACAAACGATATTCAATTTCTCCATAAGTCATGGACACCCTGAAAATAAATAAAATAACATTTTTTTTCTTCCGTTTCAGTTTTATGGTGACGTGGAAATAGGCGGCAATGCATATATTGCTTGACTAGGTCATGCTGTCGACCCCATAGATCAACAATGAGAAAACGAATAAAAACAATTTTGAAATTAATAAACAAGATGTTTTCTGGCAGTACTACTGACTTGTTGGATGCCAAGTAGACCTACGCATCGTTTTGTTGTTATATTGTTGCTGTTTGTTTAGTTCAATTACGACTAAAACTAAATAGATAATTTTGTTTGAACTGCGCCACATTGCGATTAACGACATTTATCTGATCCCAACGATTCTTACCTGTGCAAGAAACACTTCACTGCTTTGTCTCTGGTAATTGCTTCATCTACGACCACACAATAAATAGCCTTGTTGTCCTCATTCCCTTAATTGCTACTCTAATTGGTTTTCTCAAATGTCATTCAGGAATTGTAGTCTTATCTACAGTAATTAGAATCCGTCGGATTCACACATGTTCGTGCGAACCAGTTTCATGGAAAGCCGCGATAATCAGCAAACCTTCCTTGTTTTTGCTTCAGACATTAAATGCGATGTGTACTTCAGCTTACTTCTATAGCGCTATGCTAAAACCAAAACTTTTTTGTATTAGTAGAGCATGTTATAAATGTTAATGTAATTTACGTAGTGAAACTTTTTATCATGTATCATGAAATTTTTTTATCATATAGTCTTATATAATATTACTTTAGTCACAAACTAACATCAATGTATTGTTGTTTTCTGTAGTAAAGTTGAATTTAACGCTGCATATATACCTGTACCAAATCATTTTAATGGATAAAGAGCGCGACATGGTAAATATATATAATATTTTTGTATGTTCGATTTTGTACATCCGACTCAATCTTATCAATATATATATTAGGACTAAAAGTATATGATATTTAACACTTACTAATCAAGTCTAAATCATTAATAGCCAGTTTTGCATTCAAAGAAAATAACGAAAATATTAGGGAGGCAGGAGAAGGGGTACACGTCGAGCACTTCTGCCTTCTGTAGAGTGTGTCTACTATGGACTTTTCCCTGAGCATCGACTTCCTTGTTTACTTCGCGACATTGGCCAATCAGCAAGATACAAAAGGTGACGTTACAATGTTCACTCTTCGTATCCGCTCAGACACTTTTCTCACTCAGGCAGATTTTCAAGCGTGGTCGTAAACATTATCTCGTTTTCGTGTTTTTAAACTCTATTCGTTAGTTTTTAGTTGTGTTTCGGAAACTTACCGTAAATATAAATCAGATGATTCAATGATCACTCTGTCTTCCTAGGAGTTTTAATTTAATTGCAGTTATAAAAAATTAATGTAGAAATAGCTGTGATAGACTAGGCCAAAATTCTTTACCGGTACTTTTAAAAAACAGATTGTTGTATGCGATGAATTATAATAATCTATATATATATATATCGGCCATTCACTGCCAATATGATATATCGAAAAACACGCAATATCGGGCCAATATATCGGTTGAGCTCTAATCCCGAGGGAGTGTGACAATAAAAATCCATGCCCCCAGTCTCAACGTGAATCGAAATACCAAAAGTATACAAGTCACAACTGTAGTTTGAAATTTTACCGGTACCCAGTAGTCTACCTTAGGGTGGTTCAAGGTTGCTAGGTTGAAGGACTGCAAAAACTTTTGAGAAGGTCTCGCGGGCCGCAAGTCGGAGAAAACCCAAAAGTGATCGCAATATCGCGAGTTTACATACTTTAAATTTATTAATAAACAACGAGAGTTTACCGTTCCAATCAGACTATTATTATGTTGCATGGGTGGCGTTCTTTTAAAGAAGATATATAAAGCCTTCAGTTATTTTAAAGTTAATTCCCGGAAATTACCGTTGTATTTTGCGCATCTCGCGTTTAATGTCGCTTCAAATTATATTCTTTCGTGACAGACATTACTTGAAATCAAACCAGACACTGTGTGATGAACAAGAAAATACGTTTCCGCTGTGTTTTTCCTTATGTCACCTTTCTTGCGACACTCATTTTATTACAAATTGTTATATTGAGTAATTTAAAAACTTGCAACGTGAGCAAGCTTAGTGCCATCATCAAATACCAACCAAGTCCGTCTAAGTTGGTATTTCGGGACCTAGCTATAAAAAACTGGATTGCGCGGCGTCAAGTCGACTCTGCGTTTCGTCACTTCTGTCACATGGCCTACGCTTTATAAAAAGAAGAGTGTTTTTACTTAAACGAAGGCACAAAGCGTTAGAAAAAGAGTTTGAATTTCGGGATCCCAACCACTGTTGGAATAGCTAAAAAAAACTCAAAAACGTTCCTCCATTAGATACAAATATACGCTAAAATTGTTCGGTGAGCCGCACGGAAAGTATCAGCATGACAGGGTTTGGACCACTCAAAAAACTTCCGACTTCGCTGACCACTAGATCGTAGAAATGCGATCGTTGAACCGGCACATAGTGTAAATAGTTAATTGGTCCAATTGTTGAAGAGAAAAGAAATTTTTTTAAAACAAAAATGCAGCAACAAGGAGAATTCTAGAAAGAAAAAACAACAACAATTTAAGAAAACGACTCATAGGCCATTTCGTGTAAAAAAAAAAGTTTCAGTGTTTTCAGTGTTCAGAAGGTTAATATGATACTTGAGACAAGACAAAAATAGGCGAACATTTCAAAGTTTGAGTCGTCTGGTGAACTCGTAACATTTTAATAAACACCGATAAACGATATAAAATTCAGCTCTAAAATTTCTGTGGTGCCCTTCTCTGCAGCAACATGCTACTACCACATGCTATTTTTTCTGCAGTTTTCTGTGGCTTATAGTAAGCTACTCATAGCGTTATGTTTAGCGGTTTTTAATAAAAAATGGTATGACAAAATTTCACGCAAGTAATACAGTTCGTTTGAAATATTGTCGAGTTCAGTCAGAGTTATTTTATTTGTCACTTCAAAAAACAAGCAATCAAGAACAAAATGTTTGCAATAAATAAATATTGATAATATTGTATATATAATATTGATAAATATTGTGCTGTGAAGGACGGAATAATATCATCTCACCAATATCCAAATCATCTTACCCTTCGTAATAAGTCTTCTACACCGGTGTAAAAATTGTTTTGTTTTCGACGTGACCTGACGAAGTACTGAAGCAATCTGTACAATTTAGAAAGCACGTAATAATTGTTTCCATGCGTTGCGATCATGTTTATCTATATTCCGATTCTACATATAGGGAAAACTTTTCTATTTTAAAATTTGAAAAATGACCTTAGGTCGTTCACTCGGATAGATCGGATAATTTGATTATGCTGCCAGAAGTTCAATTTCGCGAACGGGTTCATTTGAAACATTAGCAGATTATGCAAAACCGCTGAAGCCTTATTTCTGGGATTACGCTAATTTGAAGAAAGCATAGAGCGTCACAAAGTGGCAATTGTTGAAATTTAAATAGCAATTTTAATGGTATCGGGCTTTGGTAACAAACGTACTTTTAGTTGCAACCAATCACACTTTCCTCCAAGTGGCTGTGAAACTCATCAATTCGACACTTAGATTTGAAGAAATACCTTACTTTTTTGCTTCGGAGCGCGTTTCCCTTCGTGTGCGTTAAAAATATATGTGCTTTCAAAATTTCCTTCTAAAGATCACAATCGGCCATGACTAAGCACTACTCACATATTTTTCCCGGTATAGTATATTTAAAAAATCCAAAAACTTTTGCCTATAAAACAATGCTTGTACTAAGGTATTTAATTCTAATCTTCCGATTTTCATTGACGCGAACTTTGCTGAAAAACTTTGCTATCTTTTTCAATAAGCTATTTTCTCGACGACGACTCCTGCTTCTCCCGGAGGCAAGCTCTAATCTTGATTTTATATTTGTTCTCCATAACCATAGACAACATAAAGCCGAAAGATACAAGTTCAAAAAATAATTTAGACGCTTGCGATTCTCTCGAGTTTGGCACTTCACTGAGGAACAGAAGATTTGTATCTGATTGCTGGTAACCTTCCTTTCAGTCATGAGAATTCACAATCAGCAGTTTGTGCCCAAATATAGACTCTTGCTATGCCGACTATATGCAATAAATGGAGGACATGAAGCATTGTTTCATTCGGATATAGATTACGCCAGGGGTGCACAACCTTTTTGCTATTGGCGGCCACATTGCATTTATTTTTATACAATACGGCCGCCAGGAGGTTAATAAGGTTTGCGAAATTTTTGGCTTTATGACGTCATCACCGCGTATTTGACCCGTGCGAGGTGCACTCTGCCCAATTATGAGTATGTAGGACTACTTGGAAGTATAATATTCGCATTTTAAAAGGATTTTTTTTTCGGTGGACCTATTCTAGAGCAGATATATTCTGCAAGTTGCATAATGATTGCACAATTTTGAAAAAAATCGAAAGTCGGGGAGGGGCGGTCGCCCCCATTTTTTTGTCCCCAAAAGTATAATAAAATGTCATATATTTTTATGAATTTATTCTATAAAAGTTTGCAAAGAATTGTAGCAATTTAATGACTCCTTTGGTCTTGCATGTGGGCAGATAAACTTGCAAAGTCAGGTAACTGGCATCAAATACACCATCTAGATTGTGACGCATCGTGTCGTCTGACTTTTTTGCAGTGCTTCTGTTTTGCTTAAATATACGCCAGCATAGCCGCCAAATCCTATATTTTGAACTTTTTTTTCATAGGATTTTGTATGTGGACGGCCGCATTTTTTTTTCGCAACGGCCGCAGGTTGTGCACCGTTGGATTACGCCAATACCTTGTAATTGTTTTTAATGTTTTTGAAGGTGCAGATAACAAAACCACTGTGTTGTCATAGTTTCAGGAATAATATTCACAACTACCATGGACGCCATTCTCAGTGAAACTATGGGATACGTTATTGAATTTTACTCAACTTAAGTTGTGTGTGGGGTATAATTTATTATTTGCCTAAAACTTGCATAAATACAAAAACAGTAATAGTAGTTTTTTCTTGTGTTCTTCACGAACACAATGCGTAAACAATTCCACAGTAAACACAGGTTAGGTAATGTGTAATAGTGAATTTAGTGTACATTAGTCTGGTAATACTTCTTTACTCTCCCACACTCAGTACCTCACAAATAACCGCCAGAGTAATTTGAAATCTGAAATTTGTTAAATTTCTTGTTCTCTTGAACTTCCTCTTGGGCATTCACAGAGACACTAGTATCGTGCTATATTTCCAATTTACATGCTAAACTTGTACGCATTGCTCGTGCCTTTTGCTCCGAACAAAGCCAAATAAAAGTAGCCACTGTGAGACTGCTATCGAAGTTAACCGATGCATATAAGCGCGCGTTTTCATCTATCTCGTTTGGTTCATTCGTTGAATAGGGTATTGGTAGCAAGCAAGCCAGGAAACGCCTGATTTTCATTAAATCGTTTAGGAATAGAGCAAAATGGTGTTGGAAATAGCGTAGGGATTTATGTCTTATTGCAAATGCCGCCAATTTGCATTAAAAAAGGGGTTCTTTTCGCATATGCATATCGTTTGTGTCATTGCATGTAAACAAGAATGAATATTCGAAATCTTACCTTATAAATTGTAAGAAACCAATAGTGTAACCTTTTTGCAACATATTTTTTGAGCTACCTCTATCAGTATATTCATGTTTAGTGATCGAAAATCATTATAGCATCATGTATTCACATAAGTAAATTACTCTTCTAAAACAATTCAAAAGTATTTCTATAAATACCGCTGCGAAACACCGTTCAGTACCTAGGCGGGTAAACGTTCAGAGTAAAATCTGGATATCGCAGGCGCCAACTATTTTTCTAAGCAAATACGAAAGTCGGTGAAAATTATGAATGCCATTAAATGTGTCAAGATTGAGGAATGCGCTTGCCACCACATCTCTTATTACCCTGCGCGGTTCGCAGGTTCGAATCCCGTGGAGGATGATGATAGGAAACAGGATTGCTGGGCTGACTGTCTATTTGCCTTTTTTCTTTATGCCTAATTGTTTACACAAACTTTGGAAGGCATAAAGTACACAATAACGATCACGAAAATGAGTTTTATTCATGGAGGCAGCAAATTATTCGTGTAATCGCGCCGCAAGTATTTTTGTTGACTTTTTTGCAAGTCGTTGGTACAATACCATGCTGTAACCAGTAACGGAAACCATTGGAAACACTACGACCATTGAGGTTTTAAAAATCGTTTCAAAAAAGGTTATAATTAGGAAAAAATTCCACTTTCACCATATACCTGGCATGGGCAAACAACGGCCAAATACTCTAGCTCTAAGAGAAACCCAATCGGAGACACTAAGCACAGTCTTGGCTTTTGTTCCCAATACCGAGGTTGTCGAAGTCTTCACTTTGTTTAATTGCAGAATAAAATAAATTTTTGCAATTTTTAAATCTACATACATTCGTCGAAACTCAAGTTAGTTCACGTTTAAGAGAAGCAATGTTTCTCCCCTGATTGTGGAACTATTCTGGAAAAATTGAATTGATGACTTAGGCCACAAAACAACATGCCCTGTAAAAGGATGTCACAACGCATTGCAATAAATGTTCCAATGTAAACATCTTACAATCTACAAATTGACTGAGTCAATTGTTCATGTAGTAAGGTAACTGAATATCAAAGTATGTACAACTTGCTTTGAGCACAACAAGTATCTTGGAATGGAATTGAAATCGACGAGCTGAAGTATCTTCAGTCAATGGATCTTATGGAGACTATCTGAGGCAATTATAACTTTGATCATATCATCATAAAATTTCGTTTATTGTCAGCGTTTTGCTTTGTTGTTTATATATTATTATCATGTATGTATCATATCTGATAAATGGAATTCATATTTCTAAAACTTCCATAGCCACTTAAGGTGCTTCATTTTGGTGGATTTAATTCTTAGGAACATGTTAAATGTGGGGCGTAACAATGGTGCCATGTTTTATTGTTTGTAACGAACTTGTGGGAACTTGTGTTTTGTTTCGAAGACAAACAGGGGAGCAATGCTCAAACATATGAACACGAAGATAAAGGTGTCTAACTTCGTTTAAAGTTGTTCTTCAACGATGACTGAACCTCAACAATAAGTTTATTAATTTTTATATATTGTTTGCTTTATCCATGCCTCATAGTGCACAATGTCCATAAATCCAGTAGGTACATTTTTCGAACCGCATTCTACTGCACCAAATGACGTCACTCCAGCAATATACCAGTCGCATGATGCCTTTCTTTGACAAGCTAGTGGTCCACCACTGTCACCCTAAAATTTGAAATGGAAGCTTACGTTCAGAATTTTATCTATGGCTGGAAGAAACTGCAGATTAACGATCGAAGAATTCTCACCAGGCATGTGTCTTTATTTCCACTTAGTAATCCAGAACAAATGACATTATCTGTTACTGCTCTGTAGTATGGGGAGTTCTTATATCCTTGTGCACATACATCGCGAGGAAGAATCCGTAGACCGGCATGTTGGAGACTTGCGGACGACTTTTCTATTGGGATATCTTCTCTGTTAGCTGGAAATTAAAATTGGGAAATACCATATAATGTGCATGAAGTATCAGGAAATAATTTGAGATTAGAAATCAAGAAAAAAGATTTATAATATGACAATAGATTCTCTCGCTGACGAAAATTGAATATGAATGACGCGGCAAACATTTTGCTTGAAACATGGCACTTATTTCGGTACTCTTTATTTTATGTAATGAATGTATTCGTTTTTCACTGAATGCAGTTAGTTTAGTATTTTTCGGGGGGATTTCCTTTCTTGTTTTGAATTAATATCCATAGCAAAACCTTCAATTTTCAAACACATTTTTAAAATAAGACATACACAGTTCAACATAATAAATAATAATAATACACACAACGAGAGACGTTCTATCTGTATGCTTATCGTGAGGGGTTATACACTAATTGACGTGTCTAATTGTACATCAAATTATTTGTCGAATTTTGCAATTGTATTACCTATTCCCCATCCAGGTGCAAAGCATTTAGTATCAGTCTCAACTTTTTCTCCATTTGGTAGACATATCGGTCGGATATTGTCAGTATATTCAAGTTGAAAGTGAAGCTGCAAATTTAAACAATCACCGATTGTAATTCTAATTTTAGTCAAACCTGTGATACTTGACATATATTCTAGAGACACAACAAAGAAATACTATTCTTTATTTGAATAGGCCCAGAAAGCGGTTGCTGATATATCATTGAAACTTCAGATTGGACAAAATTCATATATATATGGGATTTGAGATTGGTGCATATGTTCATTCTATTTCTCAATGTTATTTATCGAGCTATATTTATAATATTAAGTCTGAATATTACCAGCTATATGAGCATATATATTTTTATATATTAATGAAAATAACGAAGTCAATTTTTAAATTATCATACCTTTATTAAAGCTACATCGCCAATAGTACCATCATAAGTAGGATGTAGAAAAATTCTACTTGCACCAATCCATCTATGCCCTGCATCAAGCTGAGTGTGATGTCGGGATCCGACGAGAACCAGTACATTGGATGGATTCTGCTTACTGAATGATCGAGGATTAATTTATGCTTGTGTTTCTAATTAAAGTTAGAGACAAGGGGGTTTGTAAAGACAAATTAAAACGGTGACTTTTGATATTGAGTTTCAAGGAAATTCATCAATATTGCAATTACAGAGAATAAAAGTTGTCGAATTAGGTTTTCCAACAAAAAATACAGCCATCTAATTATTAATAATGATTAGATACCAAATATTTAGCAGCGTAGTTGGCTTTTCATCTTGGAATATTCTTTGTACTATTTCGAATGATGAGTGAAATTGCTCAAATATGTTACCACAAGATATTTCGATTTAGGACCCCGCTAAGTTTAACATCATTCGGTCCCTCCGTACTTATTAATAGTCGCATTCAAATTAAACTAATTTACCTAAAAAGCAGTGAATTATGCAAAAAATGTAATATTCCACGTAAAATATTTGTATCAACAAAAATTGCTTTGTTCGTCATTTTGCACATGAACTCATTATACCGTTTGGTTTAAAATGTTAGTATTCGTTGTGGTCAAATCATTCAATTTTAAATTCTTTTTTACTATGATAATACTTTTTTTTAATAAATGTATTATACGTAAAAGAGTAAAGATAGAAACAGTGCAAAAACTTTACTCAACACAATGAGCTGCCGTCAATACCCAACTCTTTCCCACTATTGATCCACCGCATACAAATTTTCCCTTGTTTTGGAGATACAACGCTGCCTGCAAATTTAAATTAGAATTTGTAAGTTATCAAGTGAAAATTGGTATAAAAAACTGTTCACAGCAAAATGGAAAATAGGAAAGAGACCAGGGGGTAACATTTGATCTCGAGTTCGGCAACATTTCAGACAAAACGCCTATTAAGATAAATGGATATTACCTATTTAAGGTATCTAACGATTGAACCTACCATCCACGGCCAATCCTTTGGTTTTGATGTTACTCCTCCAATGATAAGATGAGTAAACATATTGTTATCATCAGTCGTCTTTATGCAATTTTTACCATTTGTTTTACTACAACATTCCGATGTGGAATTGAAGCGATGTTTGGAGTTCCAAGGACAGGTTACTGAGATTCAATTTCGGAATTTATATAGAACAATTGAAATTATTATATCATTTAAAATTATAATTTGCTAACAAACATTTTGTTACTGGCGGCTACAGTCTCTTTAGGTGTCATCAGTTATGTATTGGAGTTATTATTTTCATACAGTTTATTTACTTCTTCTTTCAGAATCACGCTGGTGCCCTATCATCGCCATCACAAACTGCTTATTATCTTTTTGTGCAGAGCGCTCTGACATCATATGTAACACATGAATTTTGAAGATATCTCAACACACGGAATGAAGCCGGAAATATGTTAGTGTCAGGTAATAACCAAGCATAATCAAATATATGCTACCTACTTTTAGGACAATCATGCGTGTTACAATCTTCATAGACTCGCGGACAATCCACTACATTTCCAAATTTACACAATTCGCTCCTATATCTCGTGCCACCACCGCATGTCCTCGTACATGGTGTCCATTGTAAGGGGTATAAGCCTGCATTAACGTAAACAACATAGTAAAGGAAAGAACGCGTAAGATGATCTGACGCCATCAACTTTGGTGCAACGATGGATAGCCACCAAATGAACAGCGGACAACTTTTCTCTTGAAACATTCACTAATATATAGAAAGAAAATATTCAGCCATCAACTATTACAAATAATTATTAATATAATAACATTTTTCTCACTCAATTGACAAGTATCTCCGTAATATCCAATTGAACAATAACATCTATAATTGTTATTCGTCTCCTTGCATTTCCCGTGCAAACAGGGATTTGGCGAACAAATTGAACTTGTTTCTGAGAAAAAATATATATACAGGAAAACTATTCGAATGATATAAAAAATATTCAAATCTTGTAAAATTGAAAACAAAAAATGGAAAATTTGCTGAAGACATTCAGAAATAGAGATAAAAAATATTGATTAAAAAAAAAAATAGTCCATGGTCAGCAAACATACTCAACAGATACCGATATCAATGAATTTTATTGTATTACCTACAAATTACATAGCACACATACATTCGAATGAAAGAAAGAAATATAACGAAGATCAAATTTTGTGCTGGTGTGTGCCCGGCTTCATCAAAGCTTTTGAAATATCCTATGCGATTATTTGACTTGATTTCTTTGCATCGATCTAGTGCGCGGTATATTATTTCATTCACTGTCATTTACAAATGTATTGTTTATATAAATTTCAATGCCATTGTGAGAACAGACATTGAAGTTTAAGAGTCAATCAATGCGTAACATCACTTAGTGAATGAAAAGACAATAAGTACAAACCCATTTTCAAGTTGTTAGTATGTATTTGGCATAGGTTTCCGCTGTATCCTGGCAAGCATGTGCATATTTGTGCAATTCCGTCACATATTCCACCGTTTTGGCATTGAATTACCGAACAAAAATTTGTTCCTGTTCGAAACGGTTCGATATTGAAGTTGTATTTAGAATTTCGTGTTATTTCAACTAAAATTTTCATACCGAAAGACATTGAAATATCGTACCAAAATCAAGAAAAAAAATTACTTGGTGAAACAGTAAGTTCACAATATGTTCCGGCATAACCTTCTGGGCAAATGCATATAAAATTGCGATCGTCCACCATTGCACAAGTACCACCATTCTTGCAAGGGTTTGGCCAGCAAACATAGACTTCTGCAGCTAAAATAAATTATTATTGAGTTTCTGGGATTAAAATTCAAATTGAAAAGATAAAAAACGATTATATACTTCCGTCTTTATATTTTTATTTACAGAATATTTTGTAAACTATACGAATATATAGTGTATAGATAGCTTAGCTGAAATCTGAGTTACGACAGGGTATAACAAAATTGTAAAGAAGAATCCAACAGTTTCCGCGAGGTTAGGTAACGTTCTATAAATATACAGCTAATTTTTAAACATATACATCTGACTCTACAAATACAACCACTACCATATGCATATACAGCAAACTCAATATACATATAGAGCAAGGAGGATCAAATGTTTTATTAAATTGATCAAAACTTATATTTTTATTATGAAAAAAGACTGTAGGTCACAAAACAGTTTCTGATTGGAATAATAAAAATTACATATAACAAATGAAAGTAGATGTAATGAGATTCTATGTTATGTAACCATCCTTCAGTGGTAAAAGGGCTGGGCATTTCAAAGCATAGTCAATTTTTCGATTTTGTTTAGACAAAAATTTTTAATTGCCGCTGTCTTTATTTTCTGTTCGCCAAAGTTCGAGGTGAATCGTTCAATTTTTTTTTTTTGAACTAACATTTTTGAATACATGCAATACTAAAGTAGTGCTGAGTATACCATACTTTTACTTGTTAATATACTAAATGACAATATTGTATATCGGTGATACCTGTGTCACAATGTTGGCCAGTGTATCCAGTATAACAGTTGCATCGATATGAATTTCCATATCGAACGCATTCTCCTTTATTGCAAGGACTCGGTAAGCATGGATCAATTTCTGTGATAAATGAATGTTGGTTGATTTATATATAACCTAAGGAACAAGGACAAGTTGTAAATATGAATGGAAAGAATACACAAATTAAGGACAGAAAAATAATCCAGTCCTGTGTCGCTTCAGAGCAGTCACAATACGCGTTTTACTGTGGCAAAACAACGCTTAACATACGACCAAGAAAAACATGACAAAATAAACCCTAGATTATTTGATTGCGGTAACAAGAACAATATAGCAACAATAAAAATATGAAGTTACAGACATGTAAAAGTTTATGATTTAGAGTAGAATGCAGCAAGTAGGTCTGGAATTTTATTATGTCTGAAATTAGCTGAATTTGCCGTTTCATTTTGTAAATCGTATACACTTGACTGGTAATTCAGCATGTTGCTGTACAGGTCTCTCATAAATTCCCATTTTATATTTCATACTAGTATTACTATTTAAATATTTGGAGTTCAATACAATCCGGAATTCATTGCTTAGAAATGTGCATGATTCAGATCTGAGTTTGGTTTGTCAGACACTGATAGTTTAAAGTAATATTTCATTGTTTTGTTTGAGTTTTGCATGTGCCATATTAAGTTATGAGTGCCTTATCTGTTACAACCACTGGCTACGAGTTCGTAGTCTAGTATTATTGATCAAAATGCATATTTAGTGGTACCTCTGTCACAATGTTCGCCAGTGTAACCTGTCCAACAGTTACATCTATAAGGAATTACATCTCTTGAGCAATATCCTTTATTGCAAGGGTTCGGTACACATGGATTGATTTCTGTAATTTTGAATGTTAATCAATTAAAGTAAAAGTTCAAAAATACATACAACATAGACGGGAATTTGAATAACATACATACCTATGTCACAATGTTGTCCGGAGTAGCCAGCCAAGCAATCACATTGATGAAAATTTCCGGTTTCAATGCATTGTCCGTGTTTGCAAGGTAGCAATTGACAGGGATCAAATTCTGAATAATTCACTAGTTTAATAATTTATCATTCAGCTTACAGTCTACTCTACACGCTAGCAGAAACATGAAAATTAATAGCTGAAATTGTGGCACTACCAGCAAGAATAAAATCTGTTGATTAAATAATAAAAATCCAGATGCAAATCCCGAGATAACCAAATTTTTACTGATCATATTATTATTATCATAAAAGCTATTCTTGAAATCCCGAGCTTACAAATATACTAGCAAAAATATATAAAGTGTGCCAATTTTTGTTTTTCATTCATTTTATATTAATTTTGTTTTAATTAATGACGAAGCTTTTTTTTTATTGGATTTTTTTTTAATTGGATTAAACTTGGTAATAGATGATAAAAGGGCAAGCAAGATAGTACCTCTCTCACAATATTTCCCGGAGTAGCCAGACCAGCAATCGCATCTATAGGAGTTCGCACTTGGTATGCAGTTTCCGTGAATGCAACGACTCGACCGGCACGGGTCAAGTTCTGAAGTTAATAAACTTGTTTGTTATATGATGAAAAAGTTTTCCAATGGTTCATTATTGTATAATTTCTAATGTTTATTATGAGAATATTTTCGCTGGTGCGTGAAATCTGGTTTACCCGGGTATCTGGTTATAATGTTCCCTAATTGCTCATGGCACTAAAATTATGAAGTACCACCAGATAATTTTAAGAGCCCAATCTATCTCGTATTTCCGTGGACATTTTTCAATACTAAATCTAAACTAAAACATTATAGAAGGAAAAGGCCGCGGCTCAGTTCTGATTCGTACTTTCAATGTCAATGTTTACAATCATGTTTAGAAGTCTGTCTTAGTGAAAGATGTGGAGATATAAACAAGGAAGTGGGTATTTTTGTTGTCAGCAGTCCTGATATTGTGGACAGGGTCAGTTTGTTAACTTTTTGCAAATTGCAAACACACTTTTTTGTTACTAAAACGAATATTTTCATTTCTTATCTTCAGAAAGGTATCGTTATCGGCAATATCGGCAATTTTTTCGATATTGATAATAGTATTGGAATTAGCGAAAAATGGTCGATATTTTTTATATATTCAGCTCTCTAAGCTCACCTAGAATGCTTTGAAATATAAATTATTATTATATGCACGCAGCATTATTCACACACAATGAAGCGTAATAATTGTGTCCTAGAATAGCAGTTGTTCAAAAATTTTAATTATCTGTTTCCTCGTTCGCCGGTGCAGAACGAAATACGGTTTGTTCATTTCAAATAGGGTTTGCAGACAAATATTTTATCATTTCATCCCGTCCGTCTCGTTCACTTATGAAAATCAAATATACATTGATGTTAATAACATATTATTTGAATATCGACAATTTCAAATATCAGCATATCAGGGGCCCCATTCGCCAAACTTCGTAAAAAGTCGAGTTTACGAGGAGGTAACCTTGTCTCTCAAAAACGCAGTTACTAAATCTCGTTAACCCTGCTAAAACGCTTAAGTGCGATTCACGAAACATCTCGTAAAAACTTTACGTACGGTCACGCTAGTTCTCTCGAAATCTTACGCACGGTCGTCGTCGAACAAAAACCACTGCATGATCACTCAACCTATCACTCTCTGCCGCCCGGCGCGGATAAGCTCATTTTGCAATGATCTCTGTTTTACTTTTTGCAGCCTGTGATTTAAAGTTAAAGAATATTGCTGTAATCTATGAATGAATGAAATAAATTCTGAGATACATATTGTTAAACTACTTCTGTAACAGACAACAAAATAGATGAATATGTAATCCCATATTTGATGTTGGTACGCTGTTAGATGGCCTATATAGGTGGTTCTATAGCTACGTCACTCTTACCTAAGTTAGACATTTAAAGATTTTCGATACCAATTTTTGTATGCAAACACCACAGCATTTGTTGGGGTGCATGTCGCACATACTTGTCTTAGGCCAGTAAGGTATTGAACATGTATCCCGTCTTAGTTATACCGTTTAATTATTATGTAGATAGTGTTATAAATAAACACACATACATTTTAACTTGAATTCATGCTAAAAACAGGCCGAAGTACTGTTAAGGAGTAAAATTTCCCCCCAGTTAGTTTGCGAGTACTCCAGCGCGTTAAAGAACTTTAGTGAATACCGATTCTCGGTAAAATGAGAGAAGAAGGCACTTTACGAGACGGCTGTTTTGGCGCGCAAAAATTCCTTCGAATATTAACGATACTTCGAGAATACCAATTTTGCCTTTTACGAAAAAGTGGGTGCTTTACTATCACGTTAAACGATAAAGAAGTTTGGCGAATGGCGCCCCAGTATCGGCGGCTTCTCATTAGTACCGGTATCGTCGAAAATACTGGTATCCTTACATCTCTAATTCATACTAAACTCAGAATATTGTTTATTTCATAACGTGCTTTTTTTATATTATTAATAGTAAGGTACATGTAGACAAACGCTATCACTAGATCTTCAACGAGATCTGAAAAAGCCTCCATAACCGTGATTTGAATCAGAAATAAAAAAACGCAATCAGTAAATTAGCGATTCATATCAGTTTTCAATAGTTTGTTCAAAAGATAGGCGGACAAAAGTGGAGGACGAGGTCAAACGTGGTGAAAAAGAGGTCGCTTCTAATAAGATGAAACAGAAAATTCTGCATGAAATAACGGGTCACAAAAAACTCGAAGAAAGTTTAAAAGATTTAAAGTCCTTCTTTGGGCACTAAAAAATTAAAATCGATTGATCCATCAATAAGTATTTTCCTAATTGAACAATAACAAGAAAAACGCGAACATTTCAGCAAAACTATCCATAGGTCCAGTGCGCTTTCGCTATGAAGTATAACCGAAATTGTTGAATTAAATTTTGAAATATTAACCACAAACTACTAACAAAAACGCAATTTATTAAAAAAGTTATAACTTTTGACCATTGGAGAAGAAGCTCTAAAGCTATCGAATGCAACACCACTGAAGGCACTCTGCGTCACTGAGCAATTTCCAATATCTGTAGGCTATATTATATATATACCAGTATTGAGATGGTGTGCTTTATCGGTGAGTATTTAAGCGAGCGTGTTGACGGTGTGAGCAAAAACACTACAGGGTCTGTACTTTGAAGCATTCAGAAAAAATTAAATTCAGTTAAGCCTTCGCCACGTGTTTGTATGCGTGGTTTGATTAGTCATCGAAAGGTATGTCGCTTGGGGAAAACTACTTTACTACTTTAACAAAAATGTAACACTTTTTGTAGCAATTCTTGCTACCTACTTATTTGGCAGAAATCTCCCACAAATCCTTCCAAACAGTCGCATTCAACCGAGGTGCTAAATACCCAGAGTAAAGGAAGTCTGCAAGTACCGCCGTTTTCACAAGGATTCGGTCGACAACGATCTATTTAAAAAATTAGGAATAAATGTCAAGATTAATATCTCATAACATAAATTTATTACACATGTAAATTATACATATTAGAGTCTAAAAAAACTCCTGTCGTAACATTATTTCAATTTCTTCAATTCTTCAACCACTTCAATTTCTTTATTAATGCAAAAAACATAATCTGGGCATAATGTTAAAAAAAAAAAACTTATTTTTCACTGAAAGTAAGGAGAATAATGATGTAGAGCAGGGGTGTCAAAAATGCGGCCGCATGCGGCCCCAAAGCACTTCCAGTGCGGCCCTCGAACGCTTAACAATATTTGTAATATTTTATTTTTTTTTTACCTAAATGTAATACATTTTTTAAACCTTTTAAATTGAAATCGATTATTCACACAGAAAACCACAATTTACTGAAAGTAGTTTTAGAAAATTAAATTTTTTTTGTTTGCAATTGGACCCAATTGGATACACTTCAAGCTAGCAGAGGATAACTTAAAAAAAAAACTTCAAGGATTAAATAAAAGTACATGAATAAGGTGTTATTTTTGAAAAAGAATGGGAGTTGGAATATTTTTACATTTCTCAAAATTCTAAAGCACATTGTTTGATTTTTATGTGTTTTTATATTATCATAAGTATAAGGCTACCTAGTTACTGAAAATTAATATCAATCATAACTCAATCGGTCCACGTATGCCACGTAATGGTAGGAAATGTCTAGTCCGAAAAATCAGTTATTTGTTTGTTTACCGATCTATACATGCAATGATAAACGTAATATTTTTGTATTACTGAAGTGAATCAAACATTCTCAACGATCCAGAATAACCGATGATCATGTGACCTCTTTAATTAGTGTTGGCACTGTAAAATCATTTCAGCCTGATATTAGTTAACTGGTGGCACAAAAGAGATGCCAAACGTCAGGGCATATGTAATGAAAAAAATTCTTCATTCTATATTTAGATTAAGTATTTTTAGTGTATGTAATATTTTTTTTTTATCAAAACTTTGTTCAAAAATGTTTTGGATAGTTGTAAATAAAAATTTATGATTTTTTGTAATAAATACAGTAAATTGCAATAATATTGAAATGCAAAAATCAATATGTAAATGGCATTTGAATTTCGAGAAGATACCAAAATTTCATTCGTCTGTTTAATTGCATCACAATATATGTCACAAACTATACCTATCTAAAAATAGGTTTCAAGTATACATTGCCAAAATATATCAAAAACTATTTGTGGCCATATATTTGAACAATACCCAAAATACAATGCGGCCCTTGAAAACCCACGAGTTTGACACCCCTGATGTAGAGGACGACCTGTAAGGGTTACTTATATGTAAATGTATTATGAGCAAGACAATAGTTTTAATATAAATACCTTTATCGCACCGTGGGCCATATGAGCCAAGGTAACACTCGCATCGATATGAATTTGCAGTCCATACGCATTTTCCATTATCGCAGGGGCATGGACTAGATTCTATAATATCGAATGTTGATTAAATTCACAATTGTAAACATGCAAATCTAGTTTTACCTTGGAATATGAAAAAATAATAAATATTTCAAATGGGAGAAAACATACAACTGTTGATATGAACTACTATTCATTCTTAGAAATATGAACGACAGATAAGCTACATACACAACTTATAGTTGTCTCTTTCTCTTACCTGGGTAGTCGCAGTACTCCCCCCTGAAACCTCTTTTGCATTTACACGTATACGACTGACCATCTTCTGTTGTTTTACAAATTCCGCCTTTTGCGCATTTACTTTGCTTGCATGGGTGCAATGCTAAAGGAAGCGAAAAACATATTTTTTATATAGAAGGTCTTATATAATTTTGCCCAAATGAAGGCCCGAAATACAATATGGAACGGTGTGCTGCTTTACTTGGTTTTTCCATTTTAACGAATATCGTCCTTTTCGACTTGAGTTTAATTGTTCGTGACATAAAATGCTTTAAAGAAAATGATCAAAATAACGATACTACGATAGCATACCCCACAAGTGGCGATCTCTTGCAAAAATCAAAATTCTTTGAATTTTCTCAATAAAAATCAAGTCGAACCATATTTGCTTGATTTGGCTTTCAACTTGAATAGATACCGTTTTTTATGTTACCAATTCATATACATGTTTGTTAGTAGACTTATATATGTTCAATTCAATTCTACATTATATAATGAAACCCTCCATGAATAATTTTTTATTTTTTTTTCATTTACCTTTGTCGCAATATTGTCCCGTATATCCATCTCGACACACACATTTATACGAAAGTCCACTATTTATGCAGTTTCCATTTTCACATAAGTTTTTTGAACACGGATTCAGCACTGCAAAGTTAGGGTAAAATATATTTATCAGGTCATGTTGTCCTAATTAAATTTCTATATGTTTACAATGAATAGGTGACATCAATCATTAGATATATGAACGTCGAAAGTCCAACGTAGGAACGTGAATTTTTTGTTGTAAAGTACGGTAAAAAGAAATGAAAAAACAAAACAATAAAAATGAAATGGAAAATAAATAAGCTTCGATTGTTAGAATACTTGCTATATTTTGGAAAGTAACAATTATAAGTTTCCTAGCACCATGGCAACTTACTTAATTGTATAAATTCTAACTTAATTGCTTATATTAAACAAAACATGTACCACATAGAAAGAGAAAGTAACCCAAGCACTCCGCTTATTAAAATTAATAACGTGTTATTGAAATACGTTTGAAACATATGCACACATTGTTATTGTAGTATTGATTCGATTGGATAATCAATTTTTGTTGTAGATGACTTCCCAAAACGATCAACATATCAGCCTCAAAATGCCCCTAATACTGTTAAAAATCTCAGACGTAATTTGTTTATCAATCTATTTATATGATTATTCGTAGAAATATTATTGTATATAAGCATACTCTTTTACATTTTTTGCATTGGTATTCATTCACTGTTGCTTTTAGTCAAAGTTGGAGTTAAAAAGAGTACGCAAATGTTGTTGTCTTACACACCCTTCTATCGTGCATGCGGTGGAACAGCTATGACTGACGAAAAATTTTCAACCCATAGAATGCAATCCCAGTCATAATCTTGATTTTTACAACGTTTAGATGAGGACTAGCCTAATTTTTTTGATAATGAAGTTCTCGTCTATATACCATCTTGTGGGACAACTGTGGGGATTGAATAACTCATCTAGTCAATGCCTTGTGCTGAATTCTGGGACCGTGAATCCTAATCCTCGATAAACGGTTATTAAATTGACAACAACATACTTTTCCTGTGACAATACTGCCCTTCGTATCCCCTCGAACAGCTACAATATATTGTAGAAGAAGAACGTAATTTGCATTGACCACCGTTTAGACAAGGATTAGGGCGACAGGGATCTACAAAGAAAGTAAGCAAATGTTGAAAATATGTCAATGAATTATAAATTTTACCCATAAGTTGTTCTCAAATGGCATTACTGATGTGAGCAGTGGTGGGATTCAGCCGGTTCGCACCGGTTCTATAGACGGGTCTTACAGAATTTTATGAGATCAGCGAACCGGTTAGCATTACTGAAAAAAAAACATGACTTTGTGTAACGAAACCGGCTGAAAAATATGACTTTGATGTTGGAACCGGCTGACAAAAAATTCGAATCCCACCACTGGATTTGAGGTATTTCACAATTGATTTACTGTGTTATAGCAATTGAAAAAGTTTACTTACGTATATCACACTTAATGCCTGTATAACCAAACTTGCATTTGCATTCGTATGATTTTCCCACTTTCTTGCATTCTCCACTGAACGCATTACATGGATTTGGATGGCACGGGTTTCTTTCTAATAGTAGTTATGTTATAAAAAAAAAATAGATAATTTGACTATATCAATAAATAATATTCAAGCTGTAAGCTGTTATAAACTGGCAACGTTTGATTAAAAACAATGACAATTTGTTTCAATAATATAAATACAGTTTTATCTATCACAATTTTGAATAAGTTAACAACAAAATAGTTCAAAAAAGATATTTACTAGATGAAATTGTTTTGCTATTTATATCTTTCGTTTAGTTTACCCTAATAAACATAACTCTTTTTGAACAATCCTGGTCCATATATCCCGATTTGCAAATACATTTAAAAGTCTTCCCATAAGCTGTGCATTTACCATCATTTTTGCATGGATTGGGATTACACATATCTAATGAATATAAAGAAAATATGACAGTGTACCAAAGGTTTCAATTGAAAAATGTATTTACGCGGTCTAAACCAATATATAAAACACGAAGATTTGAGTTTTATTTAGAATTTCATGACAATGAACGCATACAGGATACACGTGCATTCATTCTATGGCATTGGTTCTTAAACTTTTGGAGGAACCGAACCCCGCAAGTTTTATGCGGGCATTCACCGAACCCTTCGTTGAAATTCAAAATATATCTGTTAACAAACTTGAGCCTAAAGTGAACTATGCATCTGTTGCACATAAGATCTTATTATTCAAAGAAAGAAAACGAACAAAACATGAATTCCACAGAAAAACACAACTCAATAAATATTTACTACAAATCAATGCGTTTTATGCTGTTGCATTTCAGAAACAATTCTAGAAATGCGTGGCTTGACCTTGGAAAGTGCCACTCTCATGTCATTTTCGCAACAAAGTCTGTTCCTTTTTTTAGTTGTTATGTCTACCATCGTAGAAAATGACTTCTCGCAAAGATACGTTGTAACAAGCGGTATAAGTATCTCAAGGGCTTTCTTAGCAAGAAGAGGGTAAGCTACGATTTGGTGACACCAAAACTTTGAGAGCGTTGTTGTTCTGAAGAGTTGCTGTTGAACCTGGCTCTGCTGAAGTTCAATGATTTCATTAAGGTATTTATCATTAACATCTGCTTTATCAACACTAAACGTGAACGGCTGTCTTACCCATGCTGGATATGACTCTCTGTTCGGGAAGTATCCGTCGAGAAACTTTGTGAGCTCATCTAAGTGCAAGGAAATTGCTTGTTTCAGTTCTGTGGGTACGGAAATGTTCCCATTTCCGAACACATCTTCGATCTCACTTATACAGTCATCCAACAGAGGAAAATTAGCGAAGTTATCATTCTCTGTTCGTCGTTTCCATAGTTCGATTTTTTTTTTGAAAAGCCTTCAGATGTTCTTCCGCTTCGATAACGTTGACTCCACCACCCTGCATCTGTTTGTTGAGATGGTTGAGAGCTCCGAAGATATCGGCCATGTATGCCAAAACGAGAATGAACTCAGAATTTTCAAAACAATCTGCATGACAGTGTTGGTGCTCTCGCAAAAACACGGCTAATTCCACACGCAAGGCGAAAACACGGTTCAGCACTTTTCCTCGGGATAACCACCGAACGTTAGAATAGTACAGAAGTACCTCGAATTCAGAGCCCATTTCATTGCACAGGTCCTTGAATATGCGGTGCTTCAAAGCACTATTTCGCACATAGTTCACACATTCCACCACAATTGTTAATACTTCTGCCAATTTTGGAGAGAAGGTTTTTGTTGCTAACGCATGCCTGTGCAGAAGACAATGCGTTACACTTATGTGTGGTGCATCGGCTTTCACTAGCGCACCAAAACCAGATTTTCGCTCTAACATGGCTGGGGCTCCGTCCGAACAAATTGCACAAACCATATCCCACGAAAGATCGTTGTTTCTGAAGAAATTATCCACAAGTTTCTTAACGTCAATAGCTTTAGTTGATGTTGTTAGAGGCTGACAAAATAAAAAATCTTCCTTTATCACGTCTTCTTTCACATAGCGCACGAATACAGCAAGCTGGTTTAGACTGGCAACGTCGGTGGTCTCGTCAAGTTGGAGACTAAATTTTGCCGGGCTCAAAATCGAGTCTGAAATTATTTGAGCCAAAATGTCATCGCTCATCTTATCAATTCTTTTGCTGATGGTGTCATTCGAAAGAGGAATTTAAGATAATTTATTTTCAGCTGCTTTTCCAAGCATGATATTCGCCATCTTCAACGCAGCTGGTTTTACGAGTTTTTCCCCAATGGTGTGTGGTTTGACTTGTCTGGCAATCAGGTATGTAACTTCGTACGATGATGTGAGGATCGGCTTGTCGATGGGAACAAAGCCGAAAACAGCAGAGTAGCCTTTTCATCATATCTGGCTCTTTTTATTTTAAATTCAGCGAGCGTTGTGTTCTTGTATTTTCCATTGCCATGCATCTTTAGAAAGTGATCCTTTGGTTTTGCCGGTGCTAAGCTAGAATTGCTCAACTTGGCGTCGCAAATAGTGCACTGAGGACGCTGATTCCCATCAGGTTCTGTGATATACGTAAATCCATATTGTACATATTCATCTGACCACTTCCTTATTTTCTTCGACAGAATATTATAAAAAATATTATTGTCTGAAATTAAAACTAACCCTAACCCTACAAAATGATGTTTTCAATTAAAACAATGCTGATCATTGTTGTAGTAGACTCACTTAATATGCAGACTCATTAAAAACCTAATAAGGCTTTAATCAAGTAATACTTCACAACTAACTCTGAACAAAAGAAAACTACGCTTACACAACGAAATTACTTACAAAGACAAAACAGACGCTTTTTTAAAAACAGCGCCGATTGCACAATCAGTTAACGTCAGGGCGGGAATTCTATAACAAAGGTGTTTCCTCTCCGCTGAACCCCTGATACTGACTCATCGAACCCCTTGGGTTCGATTGAACCCAGTTTAAGAACCACTGTTCTATGGTATATCACTTACAATAGTAAGAACTAAATGTAGTTGAGTATATTTTTTTGCTCTATCACAATGTATTGCTCACGAAATGTTATGCCAATCGATAATAAGGGAATTGAGAAAATTACGACTTTTTAAGATATTTTTTCAGGATCCACATTTATCAATTCCCAAATTCTGGAAATAGTATTTTCAATAAAGCGTTGAATTGATGCAACATAACTGATCTTATGTTTTACATGTGAACGGTTTTATCAAACAAATATCTACCAACATTTCTAAATAAGTTAACAACATAATTGTTCCCCAAAATTATTTACTAGATAAAATTGTTTTGCTATTTTTATCTTTTGTCGAGTTTACCCCCAATAAACATACCTCTTTTCGAACAGTCCTTGTTCATATATCCCGATTTGCAAGAACATTTAAAAGTCTTTGCATAAGATGTGCATTTACCATCATTTTTGCATGGGTTGGGAATACACATATCTAATAAATATAAAGAAAATATTACAGTGTGCCACTTTATATTTCTTGATGCTTGATGAAAGTAATGAAACAGACGGTCACAATAATTTCCCCAACATTTTAATGCAAGTGTTCCCAGGACAAGATCCCGGAGCCCTTAACTAAAAATGGAACAAATCCAAATAGAAATATCGCAATCGTTTTTTAAAAAAATTCAGGTCAAAAATGTAGAAGCACATTTTTCCTAAAGAAAAACATTCCATATATGAATCAAATTTTTCCCCAATATTATTTGTACTATTACTAAATTTCTTCTAGCGGATAAAAAACATCCAATAATCTCCAATAAACTAGTAGTAGGAGCTCAATACCCATTACAAAGTTTTCAGGTGAAAAGTGTATTTACGCAGTCTCAAACAATATATAAAACACGAAGATTTGAGTTTTATTTAGAATTTCATGACAATGAACGCATACAGTATACACGTGCATTCATTCTATAATATATCACTTACAATAGTAAGAACTAAATTTAGTCGAATATAATTTCTTTGCCCTATCACGATGTAATGCTCACGAAATGTTATGACAATTGATAATAAGGGAATTGCTAAAATTACGACTTTTCAAGATAATTTTTCAGGATTCATTTATCAATTCTCAAATTTCTGGAAATAGTATTTCCAATAAACCGTTGAATTGATGCAGCATCAAACAAAGATTTACCACAATTTCTGAATAAGTTAACAGCATAATTGTTCACCAAAAGAATGCACTAGATGAAATTGTTTTGCTATTTTATCTTACGTTGACTTTACCCTAAAAAACATACCTCTTTTTGAACAATCCTTGTCCATATATCCTGATTTGCAAGAACATTTAAAAGTCTTTCCATAAGATGTGCATTTTCCATCATTTTTGCATGGGTTGGGATTACACATATCTAATAAATATAAAGAAAATATTACAGTGTGCCACTTTATATTTCTTGATGCTTGATGAAAGTAATGAATCAGACGGTCACAATAATTCTCCCAACATTTTAATGCAAGTGTTTCCTAAGCAAGATCCCGTAGCCCACAACAAAAAATGGAACAAATCCAAATAGAAATATCGCAAGCGTCCTTTGAAAAAATTCAT